AGAAATGGTAGTGCAAAATTACCACAGTATTTTTAATGCTATAGCTGGATTGTACCCTGTCTGGTAATAGAGTTAAAAATTTTAAAAATATAAATAATGTTGCACGTGGAGACCTCCACACTGAGTGACTTTTATTTTCCTTTTAACATGTGGAAAAGTTGTAGTATAGAAAGACCACATTTGGGACTCGTTGTTTTGCTAATGGATTAAAGTAACGGTCCTGTGTTGACATTTTATCAAAAACATCCATGGTGTGTAATTGCAATGAAGGGGGGGGGCACATTACAAAATGTCTTCATTGATAAACCTGCTGCTGTAGATCTTGCAAGTCACTGAGGATTCTGACAATCAGGCTCCTTTTGCTTGGGCATTTTTCTGTTGCATGCTTCCACTAGATGACTTGGCCTACTAACATTTCTCAAGAGTGACACAATAGTAGTGCATATTAAGCTGCTTCTGAAGTGCTGTACTTGTTGTGTACATTCTCGTGGTTGACTGCTTTTAGTCTTGGGCTATGTACAGGAGATGCCTTTGCAGAAGCTTGTCAGTGATACTAAAGAGCTGTCATTGCGTGAGGAAACCAGCTTCTGTAGTGCTTTAGAAAGCAGCTAGGATTTGGGGGCGGAAAAAATGAAATCCATTCTTAGTAGCATAGCTAAACAGAGTTGCTAAAGATGTGTTACCAAACCTAGTGCATTAGCTTTGGGCTGTATTAAGTGATCAGTAACATTCTTCCCACCCTTACGCCTTTCTTGTGTCCAGGGTGACTTAAAAGATTTTCCCTTTAAAAGCCAGAGAATGTATCAGAGATGTGAAACACATCTGTGAGTGCCGTGCTTTGCCATTTCAAGAGCATTTTATTTTTTTAAAAGCAACTCAAACTGATAATTAATCAATCCAAATTGAACTTCATGCTCAAGAATAATGTATGGCTGTTAATGCCATCTGACTTAAGCACCTTGTCCCGTACCTGATACACAGGACATTGCTGTCCTTGGAATCATGAAAGAAAATGATCCTGAACAAGACTTCTCCACTGCAGTGTCCTTTCCCCACCTCATTGTTTTTGTACCGTTGCCAGAACTGTTGATGCCAGATCATGACTAACGTCATGGTCACTCTGAGGAAGAATTGTTTTTGTTATTTTACAGGCAGTCCTTTCTATTCAAAACTATAATAAGGTCAGTTTGTTGATGAAAATGTAGTCTGTTGACTTGTGGTATTCTTATAAGACTATCAGAGGTTCATTATTAAATTCTTTCCTGAGATGTGCACAAGAAGGTAACTATTTTTGTACCCTTGCCATCTATGTTAGATTAAAATTATTTATTTCAAATGAATAAGGGTGTAAATAGTACTTTCCCTGTCAGCAGCATTGTTAGCAAATAAACATAACGTTCCAAACACAACACACAAAACCTCATGTTTTATTTGGGGTTAAAAAAATAATCATTATTATTACAAATTGTAGACTTTGTGTACTATTTAAATAAACTGTCTCACTAATTACTTCATAATTGATTTAACAAAGCTAAGATAAGTATAAAAGTTTTTGATATTGGCTGAAAAGCACAAATTCATTTTAGGGTTGGCCACTGTACTGGCTTGAAAAAAGAACAACAGCAGCTATTCATGCTGTGTTTAGAGGGGCAGACAGACATATTTGATCCCATTTTAGCAAGTCACTGGGGCTGCTTATTAAGCAATAGGTCAGTAGAAGGAGGGTGTTTACATGTTTGTGATAGGAAGTACCTATTTTGTTTGGGAACTCTGACTGGTGCTTTCATCCACAGATGCGAAAGGATTAGCCAGGCAGCGGCAGCTGTGCCTTGCCTCTCTGCAGCCGTGTGTAGAGCATTAGAGACCCACTGTGGTGCTGCTCACTTGTTATGGAGTCACGTCTCCTGTGCTCTGTAACACAGAACTACTATTATTCCCATTATGAAACTGTTCTACTTTTAGCACAGAGGTAGGAAGTCCTAGTAGATATTCATTCATGTTCCAAGGAAAAGGCTTTCAAACAGGTTGTTTCCTCCATTTATAACCATTCTATTAGAGAGTTGCTTTCATCTCAGTCCATTTCTGCTCCTGAAACTTGCATCAAGCACAAGGCAATATCACACTGGCTGTTAAGAATTTCTTTACAGTATGCTTTGATTAAACTGGGTTAGAAATTCGGACCCTTTGCACTTTTCTCCATCTCTTGCTGTCTGACATGAGATGCCTGAGTGAAAATGTTCAGCAATCCATTAGTAATACACTGTGTTTAAATAGCACTACCATTCAGCTTAGAGGAGCTTGCTGGAGAAATGCAGTGGCTTTAGTGGACATGGAGCACTTGCTGTGGCTTTACAGCTTTGCATGAGCATGTTCGTCAGCTCTTTAGTTTCTGTGTGAGAGAACATAGTGCTTTAGAGATTACAGTGCAAATAATACAGGAGTGGGCAACATACCACTGGCAGGAAAGATGTTGCTTCTGAATTGTCCTATGACAGAAGAAGCAAAGTGGTCTTGGTTGCAATTTATTTTCAATATTTGGAAGTCTCCGAACTGATAGACGATTCAGATGTGCAGAAAAAGAATAGATCACACTTGTTTCAGGACTTGTGCTACTTCAAATAGTCAGAAGACCCCTTCCCCTTACAGAAGTCTCTGGTAATGTGTAAAATTTGCTGTTGCAAATAAGCTTTTTGTTATAATCTCCTAGTCTTTTCACTTGGTATCTCCCTACCTTTTGTATTTCCTCTTGCCTCTTTGCAATTCTCTTTATTTTGTTTTGTTTCATTTTATAGATTGTGACTTGTTTGTACCCATTCTCCCTCATTCTGTTTCCATATGTCCACTTTTAAAAACTGCAGTACTCTGCAGTTTCCCTCTGTTATGTATTTATACTACTATTCTTGCCTTTTCAGCTATCCAAAACATATTTTTTCACGTTTTTTCTTTCTGATGTCTCATCCCTTGCCCTTGCTGCATTACCTCCTTTGTTCAATGTTCTTCTGCCTCCTTTTACCCTCCTTCCTTAGCTGATAAGTGAGCATGTGGGTGTGGACTTTCTGTTGTATATTTGTACAGTGCCTAATCTTTCTGATATAGTGTGTATTGTTGTTCACTTTATTGTGCTTTTTCTGCACTTTTGAATCTAAGTAATAAAATGTTAGTTAGACAATAGTTTAAAAAGAACTGCTCCAGATTCTGATTTAGTAGGAGAAACAGACTAACTATTAAGTCCCCAATTTGGAGGTCATGGGGGAAGTTTCAGCTTGTGGCTAAGTGTAAGTACCCATTTAGCTGAAGAGGTGGATTGGCACATTTATTGCTTCATGGCTCTTGATGCTAAAATACGTTGCTCACACCTGTACTGCTGTGCTTATACAGGGCATGCCTATGCTCCAGAGAAGATTGTGCCATTTTAGCTTAGCTACCAGGATGGTGTCCTCAGCACCGCTCTGGTGAACCTCACAGTAAATTAGAATGTTCCTTTCAAAGTCAATTCATGTTATAGTTACAGTTACAGTTATAGTTATTGTTACAGACTTACAATGATAGTCACAACATTAAAACCACTGGCAGGTGAAGTGAATAGCACTGATTATATCACTGAAATTGCACATATCAAGGGGTGGGATATATTGAGCAGCAAGTGAACAGTCATTTTTTGTATTTCATGTATTGGCAGCAGGAAACATGGGCAAGCAAAAAGATCTGAGCGACTTTGAAGGCTAGATGACTGCATCACACTATCTGCGAAATGGCAAAAGTGTTGTGGGGTGTTCCTAGTATGCAGTGGTTAGAACCTAGCAAAACTGGTACAAGGAAGGACAGCTGGTGAACTGGCGAGAGGGTGCATGCCCCGAAGGCTTCCACATGAGGAGGGAAGGCTAGCCCATCTGGTCCAATCACATAGAAAAGCTACTGTACCTCAAATTGCTGAAAACCTAATGCTGGCCATAATAGAAAAGTGTCAGAACACACAGTGTTTTCAAGTTTGCAGCATATGGGGCTGTCTAGCTGCAGAATGGTCAAAGTACCCATGGTGGCCCCTGTCCACTGCCAGAAATGCCTGCAATGAGGGACATGAGAGTCAGAACTAGACCATGGAGTAGTGGAAGAAAGGTGCCTGGTCTGATGAGCTGCACTTTCTTTTAGATCAGGTGGATGGCTGGGTTCATGTGCATTGTTTACCTGGGGAAGAAATGCACCAGGATGCACAGTGGGAAGAAGACAAGCTGGCTGAGGCTCTGGGCAATGTTCTGCTGGGAAACCTTGGGCCCTGGCATTTGAGTGGATGATACTTTGACACATACCATCTACCTAGAGATTGTTGCAGACCACATACACTCCTTTGTGGCAGTGGTGTTCCCTGATAACAGTACCTCTTTCGGCAGGATAATGCACCCTGCCACAGTACAAAAATTGTTCAGGAATGGTTTGAGGAACATGAAAAAGAGTTCAGGGTGTTGCTTTGGGCTCCAAATTCCCCAGCCAATTACCATCTGTGGGATGTGCTGGAACACCAAATCCTGTCTGTGGAAGCCCCACCTTGCAACTTGTAGGACTAAAAGGATCTTCTGCTAATGTCTTGGTGCCAGATAACACAGGGCACATTCAGAGGTCTTGTGGAGTCCATGCTTCAATCCATCAGAGCTATTTTGACAGCATGAGGGGGATCTATGTGATTTTAGGCAAGTGGTTTAATGTTGTGGCTGATCAGTGTATTTCGCTCCTGTTGTGAGTATTTTGCCTGTCAGAGGAGCCAGACAATGTTATGATTTGTAGGTTAAGCTGTGTTTTAGAGGCTTTTACAGTCTTTACGCAGCTACCCTGCACTTAAATCAGCTTAAGCTGACCGCCAACTTTACAGCAGCGGTATCTAAAAACAATTAGAATGCACTGTATTTCCTTAATGAAGACTACATCTTTAGTGTAGGCATGCTTTAAAATGTGTATACTGTTTTCTTCTTATCTTAAGTTCTTCCTCCCTTCTCTTCCATCCATAGAAATACTATGGTCTGGACACAAAGTTTGGTGACATCGAGCAATGGATGGTAGGCTTTGTCTAAAAATCTAGTACTATCTAAAAGGCTGACTGATATAGTATAACTGTTTTCTGCAGCTCAGTATGTACATCTGCGTTCCAGTTTTTGCAAACAAATATGTTATCTTGTAAGACTGGTGGCTTGCTGTATTGACTTTTTGAAATCACCTGTTGAAAACCAAAAGGAACTTCCTACACATCTTGAAAGATTTCTGTAGAATACTTTCCCCAATGGGTTGCCTGACTGGGAGACTATGACACCCATTATCCGCAGCCTGTGTGATTTGGTGGTTACCAGGTTGGGGAAGGCTACTATAGAATATCTGTGCTAGGAATCACTGAGGTTATTAGACTAAGGATTTAACACAATATTCACTTTGAAGTTTGACAACTGCTCAAAATGAATGTGACCCATCAAAAATGCTGCCTCATGGTTGGAAGGGGATAATTGAGGATAGAAAATTGCAGTGCTCCTCACTTATTATGGAGTCATGTCTCCTGTCCTCTGTATCACAGAACTACTATTATTCTCATTATTGAACTGTTCTGGCAGCCGCCTTGGATCCTTTTTAAGGAGAAAGGTGGGATAAAATATTTTAAATAAAAAAATAGAACATTCAGTTTGTGGGAGATGATTCCATTGCTAACTGGACTGATTTAACTTAAATACAGAAGAAGAACCTCTATAAACAGCTTTTTGGAGCCAGTGAACTCCAGTTGTACATGTTCAGTTCACTGTGCTTTTGAGCCCTAAGAACTTGCTTTGTACTTCTTATGCTCCTTCATGTTGTTTATTTTATTTTATTTATTTATTTATTTTTTATGCTCCTTCATGTTGTCCTCCCCTTGTCCTATCAGAGCAACTGTGCCTGCCCTCTTTTTATTACTCTTTTCGTAAAGTCCTCCCCTTGTCCTATCAGGGCAACTGTGCCTGCCCTCTTTTTATTACTCTTTTCGTAAATCCTGTCATCATTAGCAACCCTTCTAGTTACTATGTTGCAGTAACCATTTCCTTGAAGTGGGATCTCTATATTGTGGAGCAAGAGAGGAAGGAATAAGGCACGAAGAATTTTTCAGGCATGATGGAGCAATCAGAGTTCAGATTCAGAACAGTGTAATCTGGTGTTCAATCTGTTTTCCAGCTTTCCTGTATCAATTTACAGATGTTGCATGGGAGTTGTTTCAGAAACATCTTAGTGGATGCAAACATGAAACAGTTTTTTTTTTAAATGGCAGTTTTGATTGGTGGCGATTTTATTGTCACTACCTTCAAGCACCCTTGTACTCGCTTTCTCCTGGGATTTCTCTGAGCATAATATGGAGAGTAAGAAGTGCAGACTAGCTAAACAAGGCAGATCACTGTTGCTTGTGTAGATGGCAAAAAACGAGTACAAGTGTACTCCATGTATTTGGATTGTTGGAGCAGATGCAAAAAATGACTACAAGTGTACTCCATGTATTTGGATTGTTGGAGCAGATGTACCCTAACAAAATTCTCAGTCCCTCGATTAAAGAAATCTGAATATATGCTTGTAGAATTTTTTACTGAAGTATCTATGACTAGCTGAAGCCTGTTATCACTGAGCATCTTTTGCTTTTGTCATTAGGTACAATCTTGCCAAATCTAAGCATGCTCCCAAAGTCTGACTTTTAATTTTGAAGCCTTGCAATAGTGTTTCTCACATGCAACACTTCATCTTCTTTTTCCCTCCTGCCTTGGTAGGAAGACAGTGAGCGTTACACCCGTAAATCCAGAAGAAATGCCTCGGTCAGTATTGCTTGTGCTTTGTGTTAAAATACTTTCACTTAAAAGTATTGAATAGGAACCAGTAAATTACATCTCTTTTCTTTTTGACAGTGATACTGGAATCCCTCAAATGTATTAGAAACATAAGCCTGTATTGTTTCATTTTAAATTGAGGGTCTCAGAAGGAGGATGGGATTACCCCTTCCTTCCTCTCCTGTGGACAGATTCCCACTGATATTTTTATGTGTCTGCTGGCCCTTAGTGTGAATGCTTATTGATGCTAGGGCATCATAATTAATGAAAGACAGTAAGGAAGTCCTGTCGAACTCTGATTTCAAACCCAGTTGTATAAATTCAACCTGGTTAGCAATAAGAATAATTATTCTTGTAAGTTATATGTATAGTGATGTGGTGTGGTGTGGTGTGGTTAGACAAACAAGGGAATATGTGATCTTGTAGCGTTCTTTCAGCCATGGCAAAAAAGTGGTGTCTGGGCTTTCTAACCCTGTGTAATTAACAGCCACAGCATTGCCAGAGGCCACATGTAGGCATGAGTGCTATCTTCTTAATGCGGAGCTAGAGGGGGAGGGGAAGGTATATTTAAACAAAATGATAATTTAATAATCTTTTGAATTTCTTCATGGTTTAATTTTTCTGGTGTGGTTCTTTTTTGTTTTGTTTCTGTTTGTTTTTCTGTTTTACATTTTCATGTTAACATATATTGAAAACTCAGGGATGAGGTAATATGCAATATCTGCATTATTTAAAATTGTCTCTGGTGTTGTCTTCACTTGCTTCTCCATAGGCTTCGGATGAAGATGAGCGCATGTCAGTGGGTAGCCGCGGAAGCCTCAGGGTTAGTAAAGTGATTAAACATATATAATCATTTGTACCATTTACCAAACCATCCTTCCTTAGGTGACGCGGTTCTGCTGTCCCATTAGTCATTTCATTGCCCTTCCCCTTCGGTTTGGGTTGTCAGTTTTTTGTCTGCCTCAGCTTTGCATGAGGACCAGTGCTTTTAAGGTGAGAAGAGCCTTGGACATGCCAATTATAGTGTGGTTATCAGTTAGCTTTTTTTCTTTTTATTTGGAAACTAGTTTTGTGTGGCCAGTCATTCTTTGGCTGTTTATATAGTGATTGGAGAACTTGATGTAAATCATTGCCAGTTGAAAATCTACGGAGATGTGGTCTTTGAGATAGCTTGGGCCATTGAAAATCTACGGAGATGTGGTCTTGATATAGCTTGGGCCCAAGCCATTTAGGGCTTTATAGGTTAGAACCAGAACTTTGAATTGTGCTCGGAAACAGGGGGGTATGTGATCCCTGTAACCAGTTCCAGTTAGCAATCTGGCAGCTGCGTTTTGGCTGTAAAGCATTGGTTATGCCTGACAGAATCTACAACCAGTAATCTTAAATCTGGCCTTATGTGAGACATTTTCTGTTGTGCTAGTTACCTTTGGAACAGTTTCAACAGGAACCAGACAAGCAGGTTATGGTAATCTTTATGCAAAGGTGTGCATTCTGTACAATTATCTTAATACACACGCGTATAAAATGTAATATAAAAATGCTGTAAGGCAACTAATTTAGTACACAGACAGTGAGTATGTGTCTGGAGGGACTCCACCATCCCCTCCTACACAGAAATTGTTTTGAAAACATTATGCCTAAACAGAGTTTTTATCATGCTGAACCAAATCATGATTTAGGGAATATCCAGATGCTCATAGGCTGGGTTGTGGTGAATTTAAATTTCTGTTCCGTGTTTCACTGTGCCTTTAGGTGAAGTGAAAATAGCACAGATTTTTGCAACATAAAACTGCAACCTCATTCCAGACCATAATGCCATATATTGCATTAAATACTCGTTCTTTAAAGTAACTGATAGTCCCTTGGCCATATCTGTCTCCAGAGGAGTTTTGTCTTCTCTCTATCACATTACCAACCCAGACTTGATACAGCTTGTCAGAGAAAGAAAGCTGGTCCCTGTGGCTCAGTGCCATCCTGATCCTGTAACATTTTTGTTGGAATCCAGTAAGTGAAGTGGTTTCACTTGAATAACACTTGGATTGTCCTGAGGAAGCGCTCTCGGCCTCACCAGCCTGGATGATATTTCCTACTGCCTCCCCAGGCATGGTAAACAGTTCTCCCTTTCAAGGTGCATGACAAAGAAATATTCAAAAAAGCAGTTTGAGACAAGGAAAGCATTTTCAATCTGATAGATAAAAGAAATGCCACATAAAAATTGATATGGTAAAGAGGTGAGAAACAAAAAGAGTAGACTCTACTGTTCTTTTTTAAGAAATTTATTGCAGATTTGGGTTCTTCGACTAAGACAGTATGTTAAACATCTATCAAATAGCAAAGGTAATTAATTTATACCAGCAAAGGTAATTAATTTATACCAAAGGAAGATTTGTCTCACAAGTTAGTACAGAATATAGGATTTTTTTAATAATCTAGCCTGCCATAATTTTCTACATATGTAGGGGACCAGAATATTGGGAGAGTCTCTTTCATCACAATGTGACTTTTCCCCCTTGACTTTGTATGTTCTCATGGGACCTTCTTTCCTCTGTACCCAACAGAGTGGCTTGGAGTATGCCAGTGCCTACATACTGGTGGGAAAGAGCTAATAAACTGCATAATGCAATAACAATTATTGAGATGTTAGAATTTAATACACAGTGTCTATTCTAACATTGTGAAGTCAGTTGCGGATGAATTTGCACATTCCCATTTGTGATGTGGTTGCTGCAAAATGCTTCACTATTGTCAGATTGATTGATGTTTGTGGAAGGATTGCATAACTTGCCATAGCTAATTGCAGCTGATTGACAAAGTATCATGGCATTTGACCAGTCACACAAATGCCATGGTACTTGAATGCATGAATTGACCCACCCTTAATTACTTGAACCTTAAAAATTTGGGCTAAATTTCTTTGCTTTGAATTTTTAAATCACATTCAGATTAATTTGCATATACATCATGAAAGTGTGTACTGAAATATGCCAGGTGTAACAATCTATTGCCCATTCTCCCTGGGATAAAGGCAGCCTACAAGTGACAAGAAAGAAAAATTGATTGATTGTATTCTGCATTTCAGAATGTATTCTGTCATGATGCATTGTTCTCTGATGAGCTGATAGTGTATTATATGGTTTACAGCTAGAAACGTATGAAGACAGTAGAGTTTGGGTGCTTACTCATGCTGAACATGCATGCCCAAAATCTATAGATTCATCAATAAAAATTGTAATGAATCGTAGGGTAAACTACAAAAAATGAAAGAGGCAAAGTTTCTGTTCATCCAGGACGACAACAACAGTTTCTTCCCCACACTTATGGTTTCTGTGGTGGAGATCTCAATAAGACCCTTGTTTCATGAAGCAGGGCTCTTCTGAAGAGTGGAGCCAGTAATGAAAGGCACTTGATTTGGCTCCCTGTTCTCCTCAGTACCCTTGCTTCATCAGTGAGGAATAGGCAGAACACATACATGCCTTCATAAGAATAATCTAGCAGACATCTGTGTTAGTCTGTTGTAGAATAAGAGAAGATGGAAGTCTTGTAGCAACATTAAGACTAAGTAGTTTTTATTTTTCAGAAGAGAAATAGCTACACAAAAGCTTACAAAACAATAAAAACTAGTTAGTCTTGAAGATGCTGTAAGATGTCTGGTTTCTCTCATTCCCTTCAGATATTTCTTTGGAGCTCTAACAGCACAGGTACAGAAAACTAAAATAGATGTATCCTATTGGCCTAACACTTCTTTTTCTGTTGTATCTGAAGGGGTGTGGAAAATGGTCTGTGCACTTATGTGAATGCAAACCAGGCTCTTGCAATTTAGTGTCCTCTGCATGTTTTGGACTACATGATCCCTGACCATTGTTCATGGATGGTTGCAACTGGCAGGAATGGTAGTTTCTACTTTTGGAAAGTACACAGTCTAAAACAATGAAAGTTTATCTGGTTCTGCTTCTTTCAGGAAAAAGCAAGAGAGAGAAAAGAACAATATATTAATGATTTTCTATATTTTGCTATTATGTTATTATTCTAAAAACAGGTGCATTCTTAACTACTTTATTTGATTTATAGGGTTTCCAGAATACGGAATTGCAATTTTCTTGTGGGCTCTGATGAGTTTTAGACTGCTTTAACTGTTCCTCTCACTGTAGTCTTCCTATGGCAATAAATCCTGTCATGCTACTTCAGAAAAGCCTTCCATGTGATTTTCTGATGATCGCTTTAATCTCTCCCGTTTTTCAGTTTCTGTCTCTCTCTGCCCACCCCCCACCTGACAGCATAATGGCTATAAAGAAGTCATGTATGATATATCTCATAGTAGAAAATCTGATAGGGTTAATAAAAGTGTTAACTCCGAGGTGCTTTGGTTCATGATGGAAGTAGTCACTTGGCAGATTTCTCAACAGGAATGCTTACTTTGCATAGATAACTTGCCCTGGAACAATATGAAAACCTGTTTATCTTCAAGATGCAGTGTGCACCAAAGGTCTCTGTCAGATGCATGATGTTGTCAGCCCTGAGTACACAATGAGCATGGGGCAGCAAGAGGAAATACTGGAAAAGGTAGCTGTTAACATTGACACTATGAGACACATGAATATAGAATCCATTCTGACAAATACAAGGTCCAGTCTATGTGGATGTGATCCATTTCTGGCTGGTATACAATAATCCATCTTCAGTGCTGGTTCAAAAAGCAGAATATAATATATGTGCTATATTATACATGCATATCCGGCAGTATGTAAGGAAGCATTGGGATAGTTATACATATGATGAGTCAGGCTTTGAAAAGTGTCTGTTGTCAACAGGAATGTGCAGGGTAGTTGGGCTGGTTTTGTGGAAGCAAAACAGGGTTTTGCAATCCCATGCAATGCAGTGTCAGCCTTGCACCATAGAACTTTGCAGAAATTCCTTGTAGCTGATTAAGTATTGCAACAGGGACAAAACATATTGTACAGCTAGGTCATGCATGGAACCTGAATATTATTTTTTCCCTTCATGGAATCCCTCTTGTGAAAGTAGCATATTATGGTGAGAGGAACCCACATTGAACTTCCAAGGGCAACAGCAACTACAAGTTACAAATAGGCATCCTTTGCCTGTTGTGAGACTTGAGGTAATTCTGGGTCAGAAGGCGGGTTTAGTCAAAATACACTGTAGAGCTATTTCATTTTCCCTCTAACAGATGTTTTCCTAGTAAGAAAAAAAGATGAAAGAAATGGTAGAAAAAGGTAAGGTTATACATAGTGTAGCTGACAATATCTGGTCCCCTTGCAAAATTATGTGAATGAGGCAGGGTAGTTGTACAATAAAATGTCTCATCTGGAAGCACCTTCACAATTACAGGTTCTGGATACTGGTGTTAATTGTTTTAACCAGAAAGGTGCGATAAGTAATATTTTACCCATTTCTGTTTTCTATGATAAAATTTTCAAATGTTTAACATGGAAAATAGATGAGGTCCATTGCTGATCAGTCATAATAGAGTTTCATGAGATTTAATGTGGAAGATGGCTTTCTGAGATTTCTTATATAGATGATGTATACTTGTGGCACAGCACAATCACAGTTATTGAGATTGTAGCTTGCATCTTTTCATTGTGTGGCTTGAATAGCAGGTATACATCTTAAGCTAAGGTGACAGAACATGACTATAAACATGTCAGAAAAGGGAAAGGATATTGCAGTGCTGAGTAAACTTAGTATTGGGGAAAAATTAGCTGGAATAACTGGATTTATGTACATGAATCATGTTATCTTTGCCTCATTTTTCTGAATATTTTGCTGAAATAATGCATGCAAAATACTCTTAGCAGAAAACGGATAAACAAATTCATTTCCTTACACTAGGCATGTATAGTGAGAGAAGGTCACCTTGATGAATAATTCCAAACTGCCAGAGGCCCGAAGAAGGCCTGTTTCTAGTTTGTCTATTAGGGGCTGAAATACTCCTTGTACACCATCTTCAAGAAATACTCCCAAATTTGTTTGTTAATAATCTCTTTTCTTTTGCTTTTCTTTTCTTCGTGTCCCCATTTAGTTACTAAGGTAGGAATAGAGATATTTACTTAATATGCCAGCAACTTTTATGTGAAAGAATCTACTACTGGATGTTAATAAGGTGTCTTTTCAATGAAATCTTAATTAAAGGAAGGCAAGTGTGTTTTTAGGCCAATGTGGAGCAAAATGTTTTTGAAGATTTCTCAAATCATTTCTTTGTTTATTACAGTATTCTGATTTACTGAGATCCATTTCAGTCATCACTGTAAGGCTTCTCATAAGCACACTGAGAAAAGATGTGTGACTCTCCTTGAAGCAAATATTAATTATAACTTTTGTGTTTTTTCCTTCTGCACTGTGTGCATGGGTGTGTCAGACTCATCCCAATATTCTGGTTTGGCCTACTCACTTAAAGGAGTGTTCTGATAGTAAAGGCAAGTCTTCTTCCTTACCAGTCTGGTTCTGTCTCGTAGCTAGAACCATAGGGATGAATCAGTGCATGAAAAAGGAAAGACTTTTAAAGAGGAAAGTTGGTAAGTAGTACCAATGATCCTTAGATTGTTAAATTATTGGCAACTTTGTTTTAGTTTTGGTAGAAGTACATTGTGCACTGTGTCAGAGTAACAACTTGAAATGAACTAGATCTTTGTAGAAGGTGAGGATAATAATATAAATCGCAGGTATCTCCTGTACTCAAAACTGTAGTCTTTTAAGATTCTTTAATTTGAAAAAATACATTATTTTTATCTGTGAGCGCTCGGAATAGGTCCAATCCTGACAACAATTCAGCAAAAATATGGGCATCTTTCTTTTAGACAATAGACACTACTCAAAACAATGAGGGTTATTTATAAGAATGAGTGGTTGTGGTTTTTATTTTGGACAGTATCACTATTTTGTTGTTCAGTACTAGTTTACTGGTGGCTCAAAGACATTTCTTCCAGGGATCTCTTTCCCTAAAGGAGACTGAACTGATGTTTTGGAATTCATATACTGTGTGTCACTTACAACTAGTACTCTGGCAAAGTGATACTTGAGATGATGCTTCTAATTCCATTATTTAGATACAGCAAGTACTATATTCATTTGAGTGAGGATTCTGATTTATAGTAAATAACATTTCCCCTTTGGTTTTTAGAACTCTCTTTATATTTATGTGTAGGCTTCCTGCTACTCTGAGTGAGGATTGTGATTTATAATAAATATTTCCCTTTTTGTTTTTAAAACTCTCTTTATATTTATGCAGGCTTCCTGCTATTCTGACCTTAGTCTTCACTGCAGTGGTTTGTCTTCCAAATCCCAGCCTTCTTCCCAAAATGGAAATCGGGTCTGTCGGTTTTTCTCACTGCCATTTTGTTTAACATTCTAGTTATTCCTGGGCAATGCAACCTCAGCTGCATCTATTAAGAGGCATTAATAGATTAGTGACTCTCTTTGTTTTTATTAATCTCCAAGAATTTCCAGATTACTGGCTTATTACCTTTCCTTTTATTAAATATTTCCATTTGTTTTTAAGAAAGGCAAAATGTAATTATGGTTCCAGTTAGCTGAAAACTTAGGCTCACACCTGAATTTTACACATTTATTCATATTTTTGCTCTCATTAATGTATCCTTCATGCTGAAAATGTTTAAGGAAGAAGAAATATTTTTCTTACTATATTCATTTGACTGATCTATCTTTTGTTGGCAAATGACAGATTGTATTTTGATTCTCGGCTATGCAATATAAAAATCAAAAAATTCCTGCAAAGTTGAAGAGAACCACTGATCTAAAAGCCTTGCAAACTTCACTGGGATTGGATGTGCCCTGTTTGCATGCAGAAAGTAATACATAGCTGGCCCAATGAGAGTTCTGCCTGAACTGATTTTTTTTTTCTTCTCTAGATTTTAGGGTTTCCCTTGTGGTTTCTTACATTCTTTCAGTAATGTCTACATAATTGTCTTCTGCAAATGTATGGAACTAACAAGAATGTCTCACCTAATTCCTCACTTAGTTCCTATTGCATTTTACTTCTCTCACTAGATTTATCCATGTGCATTTGGAATAATTACATTCCTGACAACTCTTCAGCAATAACGTAGATTTGTGTTTCTTACAACTTTTTCCTTGTTTATGAAGCTGCTTCCTACGTAACATATCATCATGGTGTCTTGTTTTGAATGTTGTTCAAGCACTTTTTTTTTTTGGCCCAGCAACATGGTTGTGACTGAAGCAGGAATGATGATAACTTCATTTCTGTTTCTTGTGTATAGAAGTTTTGAAATCATGCCCTGTGATTAATGGCTGCTGCTTAGTTGTTCTGTCTTGCTTGAGCAATGTTGTCCTCCTTTCTGTTAGGAAATATGCATAAGTTCTTGCTGTCTGCCTCTGTACACGCATTCTCAGTCAGGAGTTGCTAGCTTCTTAAATGGTCTGCCACACTCCATGTTACTTTGCACTAAAGCATACACACTGTAGTAAACCTGTGTTCCCTCTAATCTGCATAAGGAATCCCACATTAAACATGGCATTGAAGATTTCCTTTTCTTTTTATTTTCTAACTGTATTTTTAAAAGTGTATGTTCCTTTCCCTCTTCAGCCTTCCTTGTTGTACAGTGATGCTGTGCCAGCCAGAAGCTACAGGGTTGGTGTTCTCTCCCTTTAGCCCCATGTGCCAAATCTGTTTCACCTATCCCATGTGTCAGCCATGCTCTGTCGTGTTTCAAGAATTTCCTGTTGGTCCAGTTCATTTCACTTACTGTGTCATTTAATTTGTAATCTTCATGAATGGAATGCACGTTTGGCTTTGGTGTGTCTGTCAGCGTTATGCTCCTAGCTCTGCCTTTTCCTCCCACTAGAAATCCTGCTAGTTGCTTGTGGAATGGGAACAGTGTTTCAGACTAGTGCTTGTTAGAATTGCTGGATTATATTTTGCAGTGAAATATAGTTGTTGTTGTTGTTTTTTAAAAAAAGAAATACAACTTCAGAGCTTTCTTTGAAATAATTACTGGCTTTTAATGTCTTGGTTTCACAGTGTGTATTTATACAAACTGAAAACAAAAGGGATATTGTGTCTGCTTGGCATTATAAATATGCACTTTTCATGCGTGTTAAAGTTCAAACAAAGCCATGGCTTCACTGTTAAATCCATATCCTGATAACAGGAAACTAATATGTGTTTCTTGTGTGATGTACACATTGGTTCCTCACAAGTCAGTAATATGAGGTGTAAAATTGTAGTACAACCATGTGTGTAATATTTCTTCAAATTGGGTCCCCCAAGAACATATTTTCTCCTTGAGCCTAATACTATACATGTCACCTTAAAAGTAAATCTTACTTGGTTCAGTGGAGCTTACTCCCAGGTAAGTGTGAATAGCAGCCTCTGTGTGCTTTGAATGGGTTCAAACATCATTTTTATTCCCCAACTCAAACATAATTGATGCTGTTATTTTCAGTGGCTAATTTAAATCAGTATATGTGATGGTTGAGAATGTATGAGTGGCATGTTGCTAGGTATGGATAAGATTTGAAGCATGACTTCTTAAGCAGCTGCTGCCATTACTTCTTTTGGAGAAGTGTAGCATTATTTGTACTACAGGTATCCTGTTGAAGGCTATGAAGTAACTCAGATGCTTCCGGGTTATATTTCACATCCTTCCTGGATCAAAATGTGAACAATTCCTAAGAACAAATCTCCGCTTCATACAGGAGAGCATTTGTACTCAACAGTTTTACTATTAGTATGTCCATGCATGTCAGCCATTTCATTGCAAATATCCTTGGCATTTACTAATACTTTCAGGTATCAGAAAGTACCTTAAACCTTGATGTAATTTCAGGTCAGTGAAGAGCAACAGTACAGTACAGTTCATAGAATTATTGGCAGGAAGTCAGCAAAGAACGGAGTTAGGATGGCAGTAGTAAGCCACGTTCCCTGCAAATATACAGTACCAGTTTATTGGTCAAAATCCTATCGTAGTGAATTGTACTAGAGTAGACCTACTGAATAAATAGGGATTTGGTGAGTCAGCTCCTCCGTACATTCCATTGATTCAAATTAGTGTACTTTAACTGTGACTTCCTTTAGCACAGTACGTGGACAATGATTTGTATGTTCTTTTCCAAATCAAAACCTTAAATTGCATAATGCAGAAGTTCTATTCTTCAGATATAGTATAAAGCAGATGGAAGTCAACACAGTAACTACTGTTTTATCTGTTAAATAAAATTTATGTATTTTAAGCATTAGCAGAAGTAATACTTTTTGTAAGATGGCAACGTTTAATTCACTGATCAACAGAACACCTTGGATTGCATCCAGTCGTGTTCTCTCTACTCACAGTAGGTTCTTTGCTCCAGCAGAGACGTCTGTGAACAGAAGTGGGAAGGAAGTGTTGCTGGCTCTGCTTTCTTTCTGCAGCCCCTTGATCCTCTCCCAGATCTTCTTTGTGGGGATTAAAACAGAAAAGCAGTCTTTACAGAAATTGCCTCCCTTCTTCACGGAAGCATTTTTGCGGAGCAAAAAGTCTTTTCTAAACGTGTGAGGCACAGATGTGCTTTTTTAAAAGGAGAGAGCAAGCTTTTGCTTCAGAATTGTTGTAATTATTTGTCAGCTGAAAGTTCTATAATCAGATAACACGTCTACTTTTGGTACTGTGCTATTCAGGGTACTGGAGACAGTCAGTCTAATAATGCAAAAAAAAGAGATTGTTTCTAGCTGGACACAGGACAATGGCTAATGCAGTGTTATAAATGTTTTGGAAACATGTTGCTCTTGGTGTTGGCGTTTTTAAAACAGAAGTTTGATCACTACAGGAAGGGATAACTAGATGCCATGCTGCAAGATCCAAAGTTTGCAGTTCCTACTTTATTAGTTGAACATAGTACTGTGCAGACTGCCCTTCATTCTTTGTACAGTGGACCCTCTACTTACGGAATTAATCCGTGTTGGAACAGTGGCTGCAGGTCGGAAAGTCTGTAGGTCGAGTCTCCATTGACCTACAATGCATTGAAAACCGATTAATCCCATAACCGGCCATTTTTGTCCCATTTTGGTTTTTTTCTGGTCTGTAGGTCAATTCTCAGGCTGCAAGTCGAACCTACATTTTGCGGCCAGAGAAGTCTGTAACTCGAAAAGTCTGTAAGTCGATCGTCTGTAAGTCGAGGGTCCACTATATATTGCTTATCTTTAGAAGCAGATGGTGTATTTTCCATCTTCCTGATTTTTCTCAGCACTACCACAAAGGAGTTGAAGTGGTAGCTACTCGAAAGAGTGGGTTTAAACAGTGTTTCCTTAAGTTGCTGCTACTATCCAGCATTTCAGATACATGATGTAATATACTGCTGTCTACCCGAAGTCCTTAAATACTCTTGAGTGACAGCAATTCTTCCCTGAACGTACACAGTGAAAAGAGCTACTCTGAAATAGCAAAATATGCTGTTCTAGGAGGATAGCTGCTACTCACCTGCTCAGTGAGAGATGAACTCAGGACTACACTTCTGCTTCTGCATCCCTTCTTAGTAGATGTTTTGAGGGAGGGCTTTTTGCTTTATGGTGCCCCCAACTTGCTCCTGGCTTTTGATTCTGCTCTTTGCTTCCATGCATGAATCCACACCATTGAGACAAGAATCTTAGTTGCTGCTGCTACTTTCAGACTAATACTTTCAGGTATCAGAAAGTAAATCTGATGTTATCCGTACCTAGCAGTACTCCTGTTCACTCATACATTCTCAACCATCACATTCAACTGTTCAGCAACTTCTGTGCAATAAATGCAGGATATTAAAATGCTATTAGGACAGAAGGCGCCTAGCAACGCTCCTGATGTAAAGAGTCTGACTGTGTGTTAATTCTGCATGCATTCTGACCGGTTTCACAGTCAGCAGCAGTAGGTGTATCTTTTAAACCCTTTCTACTATGGGAGGTACTGCTGCTCTTTTGTTGAATCATTTCCATTTCCTCTTCACTTCTGTTATTGTTCACTTTGCTGAATTTTGTATCTCTAGATAAAAGTCCACCAACCTGACTCTTTTTTTAATTGTAGGCCTCTCTGTTTGATGAGAACTTTAACAGTGGGAATCGTCGGTATAGTGCCTCTAGTTCACGTCCTGTAAGGTGGTTTCTATGTTTTTGTGCTGGCCTAATTTCTGTTTCTTGTATAACACTGAATGCCCATAATGGCTTTTTTTTAAAAGAGCAGATTTTTGTGGCTTTCTGAATTAATAAATACTTGGTGTTGTTCTTTGCATCATCAGTTATATACAATGGGTTCTTTAGGTTTGCAAAGCCATAACTTAGCAAGCCTGGAGTGAGCATTGGGTCCATATGTTCCCCTTTGCACACTGTTTTTGGAACTAGAGTAATGTCTGAAGTTATGAAATCTGATCTAATGTGAATTTGTTACCTAGAATGGTTAAAGTATGGTTTATTATGTCATTTAAAGTCTAGCTAGTAACCCAACACTAGATGAAAGTTCTCCATTCTGGATCTAATGAGAGTGGTTGGGAGGGGCTGATTTGACAAGAGCAGGACTGAACTGCTAAAGCAGCATGCAAGGGGAGCATGCCAAGGAAATGTCAGGGTGGAGCACCTAGGCTTGATGCACATACCTGGCTTGCAGGTGTTGCTTGTTATATTCAAACTGGTACGGCTGCAGGGAAGTAATATTCAAACTGTGTTCCCTAGTTTATTCCGATGTGGGACTTCCATGAGTTTGCTGATATGCCTGAAGTAGCAAATTACTTGTGCTCCCAACCACAATTAAAGTGAACTAAAGACTTGCTCCAAACATAGTTTGTCTGTTTGGATGTAACAACACAGTCTGGTTTGATGGAAACGTGAAATAATAAATTCTGACGTGTAAGGAAAGAAGAGAATTATTTGAATCAGGAAATATGAAACATTAATGTTAAGACTTGATAATACAGCCTAATAGTTTATTATGTTTGAGTGTAAACAAAGAGAGCTAGTGTGGTATAGTGGGTAACATAATGGATTTCCTACTCCACCACCGAAACTCACTGAGGGTGGCACTTGTAAAGATATCTCACTTACCTTGAAAACCCTATTTGGCTGCTGTAAATTAATTGAAATATAATGGCATATAACACACGAGGTCTCTAAAATTTTGTTTCAAAAGTATATGCTATGGCTAGATGATCCTCTTAATTCCATCATCACATTCTCCTCAGTTAAGTCCCTACTCCGCCACCGAAACTCACTGAGGGTGGCACTTGTAAAGATAACTCACTTACCTTGAAAACCCTATTTGGCTGCTGTAAATTAATTGAAATATAATGGCATATAACACACGAGGTCTCTAAAATTTTGTTTCAAAAGTATATGCTATGGCTAGATGATCCTCTTAATTCCATCATCACATTCTCCTCAGTTAAGTGTATTTATGAAGGTTCACATCCTTTTAGTTATGTAATTGTGTTTAATATGTGAGTGTCCAAAAGTTCAGTATTGCATTTTTTTTTTTTTGAATGTAAGACATTTCACTGTAACAGTCTTGCCAGGAAGAAAATATAGAAAATATAGATTTTTTTTCCAATGTTTATGTTTACCTTTTAAACAATAATTTCAATTAGGAGAAATCTGACCTTATCTTTTGTTTATTTTTATTTATTTTATTTTATTTATTTTATTAGATTTTTATCCCGCCCTTCTAGACATATGTCTACTCAGGGCGGCTCACAATAAAAACATTCATAAAAACAAATAAAACAGCGATTTACATTGACAGTATTGGTATTAATCAAGTTTAAGTAGAAAGTAAAAGTCAAGTATTGACAGGAGGGAAGGCCTGCCTAAAAAGCCAAGTCTTTAATGGGCTCTTAAAAAGCCCCAGTGAGGGAGCCAGGCAGATCTCTGACAGCAGGTTATTCCAAAGTCGAGGGGCCACTGCCCAGAAGGCCCGGTTTCTTGTTCTTTCTTTCCGGGCCTCTCTCAGTGTTAGGCCCCTCAGCCATCTTTCCTGGCTATAGCGAGTGACTCGAGGAGATCTAGGTGGGAGAAGGTGTTCTGCTAGGTATCGAGGTCCTAAACCATTTAGGGCTTTATATGTCATCATTAACACTTTGAAATCAATGCGGAAACAAATGGGCAGCCAATGCAAGGCAGCCAGAGTGGGAGAGATGTGCTGGTGTTTTCTTGTTCCAGTAAGTAGTCTGGCTGCCACATTCTGCACCATCTGAAGCTTCCGCAACAACCTCAAAGGTAGCCCCATGTAGAGCACATTACAGTGGTCTAATCTCAAGATTACAAGCACATGGACCAGCGTGGTGAGGGCCCTGCCATCAAGAAAGGGACGCAGCTGGGCAATCTGCCATAAGATGATAATAGGCGGAACGGACCACTGACACCACCTGGGTTTCCATGGTGACCGCTGGTTCCAGATGTACTCCCAAGCTGCAAGCCTCACTCTTCGTGGTGAGAGTCACCCCCCCCCAAAGAGAGGGAGTTTCCCAAGCTGCCGATGGAGGGGCCACCAGCCCTCAGGACCTCCGTCTTATCCGGGTTCAGCCTCAACCCATTCTGCATCCATTGCAGTACGGCCTCCAGACAGCGCTGTGGGTACAGAGCAGCATTCACTGAAGTAGGTGAAAAGGAGATGTAGAGCTGCGTGTCATCAGCATACTTATGGCACAAGAATGGTAAAAACAGAATGGTAACTGTTTACTCAGTTACTGTTCTGTTTCATGCATAGTCCAGGAAGTCTATCCAATTTATGACACCATGGCTTTCAACTGACTTGAGTAGCTTTCAACTGATTTGTTCCATCCTTAGGCAGTCTGTAAAAAACATCTCCTTATCACTAAATTGTACTGAATGCCTTTTATTGCTGAGTAATTAAGTATTTCTCCATTGCACAGTCATTTAATTTTTTTAATGGTTTGACATCAGGGAGTTGGATAAGCAAATTGCTAATTTTTCTTAATTGCAGTTTTAAAACAAATTTGCTGTTTAATAGTTTGGCAACAATAAGGTTTAGAAGATTGAATATGCAGTAATGCTGAAGTAAAATTAAAGATTACAGTTTACTGAAGAAAAGTCAAGTTTTAGTGTGCTGGTGGAGAGCTGGCAAATTCCAACACTGATCTTGCTGAAGAAGAACTTTACACTGCCCCAAGCCCACGGTGGGTTTTACTAATTTCATCTTTTCATTTTGGGAATTACATAATTATGAAAGGCTACTGATGTTCCTTCTACAGCAACAAAACTTACTAGATAGCTCAATTGCAATAACACGGTGCATCTTCTCTTGCATGGATTGTGAGACTAAAGTGATGGGTCTTTTGTAACAAGGAAAAAAGGCCAGTGGAGGAGTAGGAAGTTAAGTCCAGTTACTTGTCAAAGCAGCTAAAGTATCAGTTCCAAGGTAGCAAGCAACCAATTTTGCACAACCTGTGGCTTAGATTTACTGTTAGTCCTGACTCATCACATGCCATTTGGAAACTACTTTTGCAATTACAATTTCAGGAACAGTTTATGATAAGGAATCAGGAAATGACTGTTGAAAAAGCATGACATAAGCCCAGAGTTTTATGTGTACCCTGTGAGATTTTCCATGTTACTCTTGTGGTCCTGGAGGTGACAGCAAAATTGCCAAACAAAAAGCTGATGGAGTTGGCATTTCTTATTGTATTCATACTGTCCACCTGAGAAGCTAACACGGGAAGAATCTGCTGTCTAAGAGTTGTTACTCTATCTGTAGAAGTTAGCACTGAAATAAACTTGTTAGTCTTTATAGTGCCACAGTCTTTTGCTGCTTTCTCCTCCAGTTTTCTTTTGCCAATATGGAGATGGGTCGATAATATTGTCACATAGTATTTAAAGGTATTTTCCAAATATCATGGTTCTGGGCATTCTCAAACATATCTCATGACCAAAAAAAAATTCCACTGATTTTTGTTGATTAGAGCCTGACCTGAATTCTGATGTGAATTATATACAGTATCTTCATTGCTACTTGTTGCTTAACTGTGCTCTTGTTTTAATATTTTGGATCTTAATCTGTTGTCTAAGTTTCTTTATGACTTTGCAGCATCTGCTCAAACTGCCTGCAGTCTTATACTATCCTTTTCTAACATGCCAGAAATGTGAACATTCTATCTGACCTGTGCTATTCTAATGCTTCCTTTCCCCCCATCTCTCTTTGATGCTTTCTTTGGGGTATACGTGGGCAGCCTTCAGAATACAGTTGCTACCTCGGCTCAGGATCTCGAGCTTCTTCTAGAGCTAGTTCTGCTCGTGCAAGTCCTGTGGTGAGCATTTCTTCCTGTTTCCTCTTTTCTGATTGAATTGCTTGTCCTCTGTTTTTCAAAGCTGTTTCCACGGCTGTGGGATATTCATAGTGTATGGTTAAAATTAGTTTAAATTAAAATCACAAAGTTAAACTTGGACTGTCCACCTTTAAACTCTAAAGAATCATTATGTCATTCATCCTTTAACAGCTGGCACTCTTCCGCCCCGCCCCCAGCCCTCAGTTTTGCAGGAATTTGTGCTGCTACTATGCATTCTGTTATTATTGGATGGCATAGTAAGGGGAATTCTGATCAGATTGATGATAATCTCTCTGGCTGTACCTTCTTGTTCTGTCCTTGTAGTATTGTGATATTATCCTGAAACATCAAAAGACTCACGCATTATAAGGGTTTAAAAAGTTTGTGTGTGTGAGTGAGAAATACCATGTTAACTGTAAAGTGATATACAGGTATTGGGGCAACTCCCGATCAGATTTCGCTCAGCTTGGCACTACGTTGAAACTGAAATTGCAACTGCTGTAAGAGAACACCAACTTACATTATTTTTGGGGTGATTGTATTTGATTACATTATTTTCTGGTGATTGTATTTGATTTTTCCAAGTAGGCTTGAGAAACAAAGAGGTGGTAATGACCATGCTGTGAATAGAGAATCACGTGGACTGGCACTGACTGTCTAGGAAGAACGTTGGCTATCTGTATTGGTAGAAAGTGTTGCTCAAGTATCCTAGAATCATAGAATAGTGAAGTCGGAAGGGGCCTATAAGGTCATCAAGTCTGACCCCCTGCTCAGTGCAGGAATACAAATCAAAGGATATCCGCCAGGTGGTTGTCTAAGTTTCTCTTGAATGCCTCCAGTGTTAGAGCACTCACCACCTCTCGAGGTAATTGATTCCACTGTTTTACTGCTCTAACAGGAAATTTTTCCTGATATTCAACCAAAATCTGGCTTCCTGTAGGCCATTGTTGCGTGTCCTGCACTGTGGGATGACTGAGAACTAATCCAGCCCCTCCTCTGAATGACAGCCTTTTAATCCGGCCCCTCCTCTGAATGACAGCCTTTCAAGTATTTTAAAAGTGCCATCATATTTCCCCTCAGTCTTCTTTTCAAAGCTAAACATGCCTAATTTTTCCTCATAGGGCTTAGTTTCCAGCCCCCTGATCATCCTTGTTGCCCTCCTCTGAACTTGTTCCAGTTTGCCAGCATGCTTCACTCCAGAGGGAAGAGGAAATGGAAAGGTTTTTGGCTGTAGACTGTTTCTGATGCACTACATCAGTTGTAAAAACAAAATTTAAAATCTCTTCTTTGCCTCACTTTAAAGGGCCAGTTGAGAAATCAGCCGCACTCAAATCCATGGTAGTGCCTTCAGCTGCAGTTTCCTGATTGGCCTTTTAAGAGAAATCAAAGAAAGGATTTAAAAACAATGTATTCGCGAAGGCTTTCACGGCCGGGATCTAATGGTTGTTGTGGGTTTTTCGGGCTTCTTGGCCGTGTTCTGAAAGTGGTTCTTCCTAACGTTTCGCCAGTCTCTGTGGCCGGCATCTTCAGAGGGCAGCAAACTGTGCTCTAGGTAGGCTTGAGAGTGGGTGGAGTATTCATGGCTGTGAGAAGGCTAGTTTGTGAGGTGGGCTATTGTCCTAATCAGGAGATGGTTGATTAATGTGTTTTGTTGTGGATGTATTGTTTTGATAAGGAGGGGAGATTATCTGTCCCTGTGGTTGATGGGTGTCATTAGCTGGTCTTTTGTGTGCAGTAATCCCCTGACCTTGTGGCTGGGTGGAGTTCGTTGACCTTTTGCACTCTGTGTTTTTGAGAGCTGGGAGCCAGGTTTTGTTGAGTTTCAGACATTCCTCCTTCCGGTTGAAGTTTTGTTGATGCTTGTGGATTTCAATGGCTTCCCTGTGCAGTCTGAGGTTCCATTGCATACCTGGCCACAACTGCAAGGTATCCGGTATACTCCTGCAGTGGTGAGGGGGTCCCTTCTGTCCTTTGCTGACCGTAATATTTGTTGTATTTTTCTGGTGGGCTTGAATACTGTTTGTAAGTTGTGTTTTTCCAGAAGTTTCCCCATGCAGTCTGTGACCCCTTTGATGTATGGCAGAAATACTGTACTTTGTTTGTCCACAACAAAAGACATTAATCAACCATCTCCTGATTAGGACAATAGCCCACCTCACAAACTAGCCTTCTCACAGCCATGAATACTCCACCCACTCTCAAGCCTACCCAGAGCACAGATTGCTGTCCTCTGAAGATGCCGGCCACAGAGACTGGCGAAATGTTAGGAAGAACCACTTTCAGAACACGGCCAAGAAGCCTGAAAAACCCACAACAACCAACGATTTAAAAACATTTTTTTAAAATAATACTATCAATATACAGTAACAAAATAATAATAACCCCCCTGGGGGATTTGGATTGGTGGAAGTGTTTAATCCAACTGTCCCCTCCCTAGTTCCAACCAGCTCTGCTTTCTGGAACAGAAAATGCTCAATTCCAGTCACTCTCCTATGATTCTCCCCTCCCCCCCAAAAAAACATACACAAACATATTCCACATTCTTTGGCCATGGACTGTGCATGCTCCCTGGAATGTTCTGGGTTTGTTTTTTGGTTTTTTTTTTTGTTTGTTTTTGAATGTTCTGTTGTTATTGGGCTGTTTGAGTTTAGGGTTATAGTTTTTATTCTCTTCATGGTTTTTTTTCTGAAGTATTTTTGTTTCTTTACAAGACATGGAATTCTCCAGAGACTGTTGATGCTTTCCTTTATTCTTCTTTATTTTGATGTTATTTTATTTTGGTTTGTTGATGTTGATTACTGTCTTATTTTCTACTGTGAACCGCCCAGAGTAGCCTTGGTATGCACCCCAGTCTGACCCAGCCAGTTTCCTAAATATGTTACTTTTGGTGGCAACTTTCTGTTTGATGTTGATGCTTTCTAGGAGGAGGAGGAGTAGCAGCAGGAGCATTTATTTTTCAATCTAAAATAATGTGTTTCTACAATATGTCAGGTTTTCAAGCACATAAAATAGTCTTCCTCAATCTGGAACCCTTCTAGCTCTCAGTGCCCATCTTTCCTATACATTTGCCATGTTGACAGGGGCTAATAATTCCACATTGCGGAATGTAATTTGGTAATGGTAAATGTTGAAGAAATCCAGAGCCCTGATCATATGATTCCTACAAGATGTTCGCCACTGTCACTCCATGTAAATTAGATCATATTCTCAAGTCTTGTTCTGTGAGTCCTAAATCTCCCTAAAGAAGAGACTTGCTTTACTTTGACCAGGAAACTGATTTTTGTAAGAACATAATTCTGGTTATTCCTCCTTAGTAATGAAAAGGATTCAGTCAAACTGAGCTTCTCCCAAGGTACTTATGCACTAATGCTCTTTAGAGGCTTGCAACAATTTTTTTATTAGCTATGCACATTCTATTTATTATAGGCTGTATTTTGTGACAGCCTTATGTTAACACATGTTATTGCTAAAACTGGAGAAATTTGTTGTACACACATTCTTTTGTTTTCACATATTCAGTGTTCAGTGCTCAGTTAAACATGTGAACACCGCTCAGATGCCTTAGACAGAGGTATAGTGGCCTGACTAAACCTTTGACTGAATTCAAAAGAGCCCAAGTTTCAAGGCATAATTTATTTAATTTTTATTTATTTATTATATGCCACCCATCTAGAGACAGTCTACTTTGGGCAGCTCACAACAGAGAATATAAAACAATACACATAAAAAGCTGAAAATGTCTAGTAGGGATCCCAAAGTGTCCCTTGTTAACATTAAAGTTAATATTTATTTTTTAAAAGGGTCTCTGAAGTCTAGTGTAGCCTTGCTGTCTAGTTCTTATTCCTTTCTCTTTCCCCACTACAGGTTGAAGAAAGGCCTGAAAAAGATTTTGAAAAGGTAAGAGAATGCATGGGAAAGTTATAGGTGAATGGAAAGATAATAAGATACTATTTTGAGTGGTTACACATTGAAACTTATCTGAGAATCGAACAATAGCAGTTTGATTCCTTAAGCTTTGGAGTTGCCCAATGAATGTACTTTGTGCATTCCTGATTCCATTAATTTTCTGTTGTTTCTGTTGTTGGTTTGATATCATGTACTGTAGTTACAATTAAATACTCATACCAAATGACTAGATTCTGAAATGTTAAGAGGACAATATTTTGCAAGTGTGCTTCCCTGGGTTTTGCTGGCTAAATGGGTTCTGGCAATATAGTTTAGAGGCAGAAATTTCAAAATGAGATAATCTGACATTTCATGTATATTATTTATGGCCCAGAGGTGATAGAATTAAAGACTAAAGACTGAATGAAAACAACATTCAGGAATTTAAAAGTGTGTAGAATGTGCAGTTCATATATACCAATGTGGTACAATAGATAAAGTGACAGATTAGGATTCTGGAAACCAGGGTTTGAATCTCCAATTGGTCGTGAGAACTCACTGGGAGAGTGGAACTGATAACATCACTCCTTAAACATCTCACTTTTTGATTTAGTGGAATGGCCCTCATTAAAGATATTAATAGAAAAATTAGGGTTCGGTATCCATTTTAAACATATTATAAGTGCAACTTATAAAATGTTGCTCTTAAAGAGGAATGGGAAGGAGATTTAAGTAAAGAAATTAGTGGAGAAAAGTGGAAGAAGTCATAGAATAAAAGACTAAAAAGACTAATGAATAATATGTCTGTAAGGGTTAAGGAATTTTTGTTACAAAGTAGTATACAGATGGTATTTAGCTCCAGTGAAATTGAATTTAACAAATAATGAAGTACCATCCTTGGAGATGTAAGAAAGAAAGAATATTTACAAACATGTGAACAGGTGAAATGAGGCAGAAGGATAAAGATATTTTGAGAGATAAAGGATATTATGAGTATTGATATACAAAGGTGTCCAGTGTTGGCCTTGTTAAATATATTTGGAAATACTCTATTAGAATGGGGGGGAGAAGGAATTAATTATTATTATGGTAACAATTGCAGGATTGCTATTTGCAGGATATTGGAAGAATAATAACCAATTTAATATGGAGAAATTGTATTAAAATGTGGGATGTGGTTGTCAACAATAGAAAAGGAATATTGAAAGCTAATTATTTTAAGGATATATGGATTTTTTTTTAGTACATGTATTTGGAAAGATAATCACTCCAGGACAAGAAGCATTATATCTCTGGAGAGCAATGGGGCATATAAATTAAAAGGGATAAGGGCAGAATCCCAAGAGTGGTGGAGATTTTTTAAAAATATATATAATCACAAAACTTGAAAGCCCAATTAGGAACGCTATAACTTGCTGCTGACTTGATAACACGTAACTGACTAGAATGTGCTCACTGAAAGGAATGTTCTAGCCTCACCCCCCCACCATTATTTCTCTTAACTTCCCACTTATGGTAAAACCCTGGAAAAGGTACCCCCATGCATAGATGCACCCAGTCTCAGCATTTTCCTTGCCCTCCATGTGTAGGGATGAAACCAGGGGTGAATAAAGTGAAATTGGAATGCTCCCTTCTATGTGTGCATATTCTGCAATTTCTAAATGCCTGGTTAGGGTTACAGTTGCTGGCCTATGGCTGAGCAGGCCTGTTACCCTAATAAAACACATGGACACAGTTCTGGAAGGAAAAAGACACAACTTTATTGGTTACAGCAGCAGGTGCTGGCTTGGCATTGGAATGGATCCTGTGCTTGGAGAGACCCATCTGTCTCTTGATGCTGCCCACTGGTTGGGGAGCCACTTTGGCTCCTGTTATAAGCTGAGGGGGTGGACTGAAGTGAAAACCACCTCCCTCCAGTCTACATGCTAGCCCCAAATTTGAATTTTTTCCAGCTCTTGTTTCTGCTCTGACAAATGTGTATTTGCTGCAACAGCAGGTTTTATATCTAAACCAGACCAGAGTAAAATTAAAATGGATCAGGGCTTTCCTGCACAGCTTTCCTGTTTGCTTTTAGACTTGAACAGCTTTGTGAATAGTATGACATCTTAAAAACTTTTTAAGTCTTTTTTTCCCTTCATGAACGGAAAGGGAAGCACTAAATAATATTCTGGTATTCACACATCGAATATATTTTGAATAAATGTAGTTGAAATGGATGACACATCTTTCCCCTTTCCCCTTTCCTCTTTCTCTTTTCTGCTGTATTATTGAGTAACAGAATCTATGTTTTGGCACTAAAGCCTGATATAAACTAAAATAATTTAGAGTGCTTTTAAGATAGTTCATATATACCTTAATTAAGAATACAATTAAAGACTTGCCATAACCTCGTTGCATATAATTCCAGGGAGTTCGCACTGTGTCAAGTTTATCAGCAGCTACACTGGCCTCTCTAGGTGGAACGTCTTCTCGGCGAGGCAGTGGAGATACCTCCATCTCAGTTGATACCGAAGCATCTATTAGAGAAATCAAGGTAAAATGTTTGTTGGAAGTGGAAGCTGATAGTCTTCATCTGGGTCCCAAATGCCTTTTTGCTATAGAAACAATATCTGAGTACAACTGTGAATAGCATAATGATCATAGCGTAGAGAGATCCATGATATTTTGCTAATCTGAAGTTATTAGTATGGAATATTCATTTTGTATAAAATAAGATATCTGAAAATAATGAATGAGCAGAGAAACTCTTTTTTGTAATATATAACTTAAGTGCCCCTTTGTAGTATTCAAGGGTTCCCAGTGGTTTTCTTGTCACAATGTTTTGTAATTTTCTTCAGGATATCAATGAGTTAAAGGACCAGATTCAGGATGTAGAAGGAAAATACATGCAGGGATTGAAGGAAATGAAGGTACAAGCTAAATGTAGAGTGATCTTATGGATTTTAACTTTGGCTGAACAGCCGGAGAGGGAACCATAGTGGAATGGAACTTAACCCGCATGCTTTCTTGCAGAGTTGTGGAATTGCATATTGAATTTATAATGTAGAATGTCACATACCTTGTTAAGTACTGATCAGCTTTCATTCTAATTGTTCAACTGAGCACAGCGTATGTATGTAAGACACATTAACAGATTCAATGAATACAACAATTTGCTTTTGCATGTTTAATACTAATACTTTGAAATACATATACTGTATTATGTTAACAAAACAGACATTTTACAAGTGTTTCGGTGAAATGGCAGCAGTTAGAACTGGAAAATATTTAAAAATCGGGTAGAGGTGTATATGCTGCTTTTGAAATTCTGTGCCACATATTTTTTAAGCTTTAGGATATATTCTGCAGGACTATAGACATGCAACATTTCTTTACAGAAGCATAGTCATAAAGTGAAACCATTTGCCACATGCCCTAGAAATGTAGTGATACAGTGAAATGCCTTAGGCTGCAAGTGCTGATCCAAATCATTCCACCATATTACACAATTATTAGATAATTACATGGACTAATTTTATGAGACTGCAGTAACAATTACTTGAAATATTTTATAGGAGGTCTCTTGAATATCCAGGAATATTCTTTAATACAGCATATATAAAAATAGATTAAACTGCCTGTTTCCTTTAATAATGGAATTTTGTCTGATGAGGTACAGAATTCTCAGTTCAGTGTTAATGTAGGTGATGTTCTGCCCTTCATCACCTTAAAAATCAACTGGCATAATTACATTGTGAAAAATCCTGAGAAAGTCACAATAGCAATGATGGGATGTGCCGTCAATTCTGACTTGTGACAGTTCTTTGGGGGGGTTTTCTAGGTAGAGAGTACTCAGAGGTGGTTTCCCATTCCCTTCTTTTGGGGGGCATTGTGGGACTGTACAGCTTGCCCAAGGCCACACAAGCTTGCAGAAGACACAGTGGGGAATCAAACTCCCAACTTCTTACTCCGCAGCCAGATAGCTAAATCACTCAGCCATTCAGCCACTGTTTTCAACTTATAGCAACTTTTTAGAGGATTTTCAAAGTACAGAGTACTGTACTCGGAAGTGGTTTGCGCGTCCTTTCTTCTGTGGTCTCTCTGGGACTTTGTAGCTTGCCTGAGGCCACACAGATTGGCTCAGGCAATCTACAAAGAGGCAGAGTGGGGAACGGAACTCCTAACTTCCGGCTCCACAGCCCGGTAGTCATCTCACTGAGTGATCCAGTCAGGATCATCCCTCCATAGCATTCTTTGTTTGCTGCAACCCGCTTTGCTCCTGCCATCTGTATTTCTCAAAAAGATAGAAACAGAGGACTGAAAATATCCTGCAGAGCCCTTATCTCCTATCAAATGTCAAATAGCTAAAGACACCAAAGCAACCTTTGTTATCTTCTTGACATCTTACAGTATAGGACTTTAGTTGTTGGCATTGTTAGCGCTGCTCTATAGATCCTATTCAAAAGGTATTTTCATCTTAAACTGAAATGTTTTGTAGAATTTGGATTCAGTTTATAAACTAAAAACATTGATTTTTTTTCTTTTTTTCTTATCTTTAGGACTCCCTTGCTGAAGTTGAAGAGAAATATAAGAAGGCTATGGTGTCAAATGCTCAATTAGATAATGAGAAAACCAATTTCATGTATCAAGTAGACAACCTAAAGGATGCATTGTTGGAACTAGAAGAACAGCTTGCGGAATCCAGGAGACAATATGAGGAGAAAAGTAAAGTATGTAGCAGTGTCCAAGAAGTCTCATGTGATGTTTTCATCAGCTGTACAAAAGAAAAGTGAAATATTTTCTTGCCATTTGTGGAGTTAATATTCCCACTGTGGCTTCAGATTTTTTTAAGATCCTAAGCAAATTTCTTTAAAAAGACCTTTTCCTCAATAAATATGGTACTACAGTATGGTACTCGTAATTCATGGTGAGTTCACAGTGGCTTAGGCATGTTGGATAAAAAGGAGGCTTGCTTGGTATTGCATTTTCTAACAGGCATTAAATCCTAAAGCTGAGCTGGAGCATATTTGGACTCCACTGCTATCTGTCTTACCTTTACACCAGTTGAGTCACTTTAGTGGGACTCATAAGCACGTGTTCGTGAAGATTCTAATTCAATTTAAACTCTTTGCACACTGACAAGTAAGTCACAGAGTCCCACAAAACTTCCTTCCATGTCCCTCTGTGCACAAAATCAGTATGTTGCTTCAGTATGTGGCATTTGGATTTAATGATTTCAAAAAGAAGAAAGTTATTAATGGTTAAAAAGGGAACATCTGGAATGTTTAGGAGGACTAATGATACACTGTTCTTTGGAAAAGTAATTTGTTTTTTTAAAGAAGACGTTCACAAGCTGAGTATAGAATTTTTATTTTGTAGGACTTTGAGAGGGAAAAACATGCTCATGCAATACTGCAGTTTCAGTTCATCGAAGTTAAAGAAGCTTTGAAGCAAAGAGAAGAACTCCTTGCAGTAAGTGAATTTCTTAAAATGTTAAAGAAATTAATAGGTTTCCCTCAGTATGTTTGTATTTTTGCCAGTAAAATTTAAAAAACTGCCTTTTTAGTTTCAGATTTTCCACCAAAAACATTCTTTTTGAATTACAGTGACCTCCCCCTATGCCTGGTGGAGCAATAAATCTAAAATATTTCAATAAGATTTCTCAGATTAAATTCTAATTTGATGCTGTCCAAACGAAAGCAACCATATATAGACCAGAGCTTGGAAATACAGTGGTGCCTCGCTTAGTGATCGCTCCGTTGAGCGATGAAATCGCTTAGCGATGGGCTTTTGGCCATCGCCAGAGCAATCGCTTAGCGATGGCCCCAGGGGGAAAATTGCTTTGCAGTGATCGCGGGGAAGCGATCACCACAAAGCCCCCATTTTCGGTCAGCTGTTGGTGGTTTCAAAATGGCCTCCAGAAAACAAAATGGCCGCCTGCTGTGTTGCCTCGCTTTAGAGGCACCGAAAATGGCCACCGCAATGGAGGATCTTCGCATAAGGTTAGTTTTAAAGACCACAGGAATGCATTAAACAAGTTTTAATGAGTTTCTATGGGCTTTTAAAAATCGCTTAGCGATTAAATCGCTTAGCGACATTTTTTCCGGAACGGATTAACGTCGCTAAGCGAGGCACCACTGTAACATACTAGAATTAACATGTTAACAGTGAAATTGATGCTTTTACATTTATCAGGCCAGGGCCAGTTGGTGCTGCTAAAGAGTGACATTTGAAAAAAAAATGTTTTAAGAAATGATATTAGTTGTATCAACTTGCTTCTCCTCCTGTTTGACACATAAGTAATTATCTTAATAGTAACTTGTTACTTCAAAACTCTGGTACAATCTATTATGTGGGACTCTTGCTTTTATTTTTCACACATATATAGACATAGGTATTTCCCATTTTCAGATGTTTTCAATAACTGCTGGAAATGCAGAATACCTGAAGGGAAATTGTGCTTGCATTTATGCCAGTGGTTCTGAATTAAATAACTATTTCTTATCAACCTTTTAAGTCATAGCAAACACACCTCTTGTTTCCCCTACTTGGAATCCTGGAGCTGACCCTTTCCCAACTACTAGGGTGAAAAACAAGGCTAAGAATGCAAATAGTTTTCTTACACAAACAAATAAAATCACTCTGAAGCTACCTGATCTTTTTTCAGGTAAACTGGAATAGGGAAAGAGAATGCAGGTAATGGCCATTAAAAAGGAAGATCCACAATACTTGTTCCTCAAGTCAAAATTCCTCATAATGGTACTGTTTCAGAAGTAGTAACAGCTGTGGTTCCTTTTCCATTATCTGTTTAAAAAAATAAAAATAGAATGTTGAATATACAAAATGAAGCAAGTTGGGATCTCATTACATGATCCGTGTCCCCACCCTCATGATCCTAAATGGAAATGGTGCTGCTTATAGATGGTAACAATAGGGATGTTCCATTCATTTTTTTTTTATTTATTTCCAACAGATGTACCTACACCTACAGATACCCAAGTGTGGCTCCCCTGGAGAAAAGCCTAGCTGAAAGGGTCCATGGCCTGGCTTCTTGTTCTTCCCCTTCTTTTTTGAACAAGAAGCTAGGTCATAAAGCCTGGAGCCTTCTAGCTAGGCCTTTCTCTAAGTGAGCCATACATAGGTGTCCAAAGCTGTGGGTGTGTCAGAATGGAGAATTCTGGGGGCTGAAGTCCAAAAAATTCAAATGGTACATTCGTAATTGTTAACACATTCAATGACTGTTATGTACAGTGCATGTAACTAATCTCTCCTCCCATCTGCCAAGTGTTGATTTTGTGTTTACGGAGTGTGTAGCAACTCAGTGGTAAAGCAGAAGCAAGCATACAGTTCTGGCTTCTTGCCCATGGCCCCTCATTCTGTTATGTAATGTATAGGTTTATCACCATACTGGGCTGGAAGATAACACAATGAGAAATGTGTTTTCCTTAAGTGTAAAAGTACTGAAATTTTTGGGCAGTGGCATGGGATTTGTGTAAGCAGGTAGATTTCTTTCCCTTAGTTCATGTACACTTCATTTCTTTCTAAGTGTTACAGTCTCTATTTTTTTTCCTGATTAACTCTTATCTGCATTCTGTCTTCTTGTTTTCTTCTATGCCCCAGGAAATCCGTCAACTACAACAGAAACAAGAGAGCTATGTCAGGGAAATGTCTGATCTTCAGGAGACAATAGAATGGAAAGAAAAAAAGATAGGGGTAGGATTTGTATACATATAAAAAAATAGATTATTCGACCTCTCCTTAAAGTAAGAGCAGCAATGCAGCATTCTCCATCAAGGTCATGAAATAAATTAAAATGAGTTTTTTGTGCCTTCTAAGGTGATTCTGTGTGCACTTCTGAGTTTGTGGGATGCAATTTATTTTTACACATATCAAGCAAATCACTTTAAACCTACTTAATTTTTGTGCTTTGTCCATAAAATACAAGACTTTCTACTTGTATATATGTTTTAGTGATTGTTGCCTGGAATTCATGAATTCGTGGTTTTAATTAAACAGATGTCGTAGAAGAACTGTACTAATTATTAAGTCCAACTTTATTTTGAGATACACATCTTTAGAAAAACTGAGCATTATCAGAGGATGTATCCTGTTCCAAAAATGCCCTATAAATAGCAACTGTTGATTTTGTATCATATCCCCAGGCTATTTCTTTGAATAGAGCTTTGTCTAAGCTTCTCAGTTTTCTCCCAAGAAACTAAATATCTCATTTAAGCAGCTGTTTCTCTCACTGTAGCCTACTTCGGATGTTCTAAACAATGAAGGAGGTGTCACTGAGCATACAGTCACTGTTATCTTCACATTAAGAGCCATTAAAATGAGAAGCTTCCAGCCCTGCTTAATATGATTCATCCAGTCTCAAAGATTCTAGTGACCAGCCAGAATTAAACCAGCTTCAGCCATAGTGTATTTTGGCTTCTTCTGAAACTTGTAATCAGTTCATAGGTTTAAAGGGAAAAAAAGCTATGGTTAATTATCATAAAATAATGATGTTGGAAGGGGCTTATAAGGCCATTGAGTCCAACCCCCTGCTCAATGCATGAATACAAATCGAAGGATATTAGAGCCTTCCTAGTTTGATTTGTTGAGCTGTGAGGAGGTGGGTGTACATGCAGAAGTTTCATTTGTATCTCAGCTTATCAGGCTGACATAATCACCAATATCTGGGCACCATAATGACTTCTGTGATCATTCATGCACAATTTTGACTGCTAGGAACATCAACAGTGTGCAATGTTAATAGTGACTGTCTTACAGTAGATAAATTTGGTGATTCTGCTTTTTTTAAAGCCTCCATGTGTGTAAAGCTGACCCTTCCTCTTGGTGTTAGTGATGAGTGTTTTGTGATCCCTCACAAGAAGTGCTTAATAGTGATTTTGAACCAAATAGAAAATACTGTATTCCAAAAGTTAACCTCCATAGTGGTTTATAAAACAAAAGAACACATCATCTAATAAAATCCATTTTAAAAATCTCAGTAAACAGCAGTGGTTTTTAGGATAAGCAGTGGAATAAACATATTCTGGATCAAAAATGAAAGGGCCAAAATTCCCCTTTCATTTGGCCCAGTGGTGAATTGGCAGCCTGTGCAGCTGTTTTATGAAAACTAAAATATGAAATGATGTTCCTACACCTACCAAAAGTCAGGCCACCACATTCTATAATTGTTGTGTTCTTTTCAGTGAAAACGCTGCATATAATTCATTTTAGAAGTCACAAAAACATTTAGTAGAAGTCTCTTGTTTTCTACGCTGGCGGGGGTGGAACTGAGGAAAAAAGACTTCACAGAACAGTTGCCAACAGGCAGTCCATCTCCCTCCCTGCTTGTGATCTTTTTTGGTCCCTGAATTAGGAGAATTGCAAGACATAAATACAATAAAATTAGTGGATAAATAAATAGGTCCAGCAGTGCCGTCACACTAGAAACCCATGTAGGGGAGCAAAATCCTGCCCAGGACAGATATGACCTGTGCCAGGCGGTCTATTGAATGTCTTTCTATCATTAACTAGATTGACTATAAGATTATTCACCCTAATTCAAGCCATCAAATGTTGCAGACAGTTTGTTGCCTTTTCAGAATTTGATGAAAAAAGAATAAAGATGAGTGTCAGCAGAGTATGGATTGCAACTTTTGAAAAACAGGAGGGACGAAACCATATCATGGGAATTATCACAGGGCCATTTTGATGGCCAAGAGGAACAGTTCCTGAGCCCCAATTTCCAGGACCCTACTCTCAAAGGAGCAGCAAAGTGGTACCTTGAAGCTGCTCCCAGCCTGTCTAGACTTTAAAGACATTCCAGAAGGGTATCATAGTATCATCAGAACCCCACTCAGAGGTCCAAGAGAACTAGCAGAGTCACATTTCCTGTCTCTCTCTTGACGCATGATATTGTGTATGTTTTCTTGCTAGAGTGCTGGTTGTGCATGTTCCCTAATACACTGGCAGAGTGTCTTCCTAATTGTAGTTTCAGTGGAGAACTAAATGAATATATTTTAAATTCTTAATACAGTATATTAAATGTCACTTTCATTGTGGCTGTAGTAACAATAGTAAAACTGCTCAGTCACTAAGAATGGGAAGTTTCGAAATTATCAGAGCAAGGGTAGCTCACATTGCAGCTGTGTTCAGTGTTGTTAATGAAGGAGAAAGTAACTACAGTGGTGCCTTGCTTTACAGTTGCCCCGCATTACGACGAATCTGCTTAACAACAATCTTTTTGCGATCGCAATTGCGATCGCAAAACGATGGTCTGAATGGGGGAATTTCACTATGCGGTGATCAGTTCCCTGCTTCAGGAACCAATTCTTGGCAAAACAGCGGTTTTTGAACAGCTGATTGGCGGTTTCAAAATGGCCGCTGGGTGATTAATATGGCTCCCCGCTGTGTTTAGGGACGGATTCCTCGCTATACAGGCAGCGAAAATGGCTGCCATATGGAGGATCTTCGCTGGACGGTGAGTTTTTACCCCATTGGAACGCATTGAACGGGTTTCAATGCGTTTCAATGGGGTTTTTATTTTCGCTTTACGATGTTTTCGCTTAATGGTGATTTTCCTGGAATGGACTGTTGTCGTTAAGCGAGGCACCACTGTATAGAGCCATGATTATACAAAAGCAGAACTAGGACAGACCTGTACATACCTCATGATTTATATAGTCTCCTGGCTTGGTGCATTTCTAAAGCCAAAATTAAATAACCAAGCCCAACTCAACAAAACAAGCTTCTTGCACTTAAGCATCTTATATATCTCTAACATTTTAGTTTTGCTCAGATTGTTGAAACAGCCAGGCAAATGGTAATTACTAAGATACAGTATGTAAAGGAATCTTTCATAATATCCTCAAGTACTAAAATAAGTTTTTTTCTTCTTGCATGCAAATTTCATTATTCCTTGCATGTCTGAAACCTACTTATTTTTGTTGCTAATTTTCTTTATCTTTATTTTTCCCCTTTCTTGCCTTTTTCTTCTTGTTTTTTATGTCTGTTCCTTGACAACTCAGGCATTAGAGAGGCAGAAAGAGTTCTTTGATTCCATAAGAGGTGAGCGAGATGATCTTAGAGAGGAAGTGGTTATGCTGAAGGAACAATTGAAGGTATGCAGAAACATAAAAAAACATAATGCCAAAATAAATAATAGTATTTTCTGTATACTGGAGAAAAATCTGGTTAGGGTTTGAAACTGGTAAAGCAAATGCATCTTGGTTTATTATTTAGTTTTATACTTCAATCATATTGTTTCAAATGCCATGTTACTAATTTTGATAACTAGTTAGGGTTAACATTGGAGACAATTATATATGTTAAGTATTTCCTTCTATTTGATGGAGGTCATAGGCAATCCCATCTCTATAAACTAAAGTCATATGGGAAACAATGTTCCATTATGGTATTAGAACACTTCCTGTTTCAAAATATACCAGAACAAAAAAGAATAGCAAAAGAGCTGGTACTGTGGAAACTAGTACAACGCTAAGTTTAGAAACAAGACCCAAATCGTCATTTTAATTTAAACGGCACTGATAGTCAGCCAATCCTTATCTAATGAAATTACTAGGAATATTACCCAAAAAAGGGGGGAAATTTGATTTAAAAGCAAGAAGATATGGTTGAAGTGATGACTTAAAAATAAAGAAGTTCAGACCAGATACTAATCCCTAAACACCCACCTGAAGCTGGATATCTTGATGTAGCTTTCTTGTATCTCAAGCCCACCCACCCCTCATCCCCCAAGTAAGCAGAAGGAGTGACTGATTCCCTGACAAGGAAAATCCTCTAGTTGTCTACTGCTAAGACAATTAAACACAAAACTTTATTTTCTCCAATTATTGATCAGGTGAACTGAGATGGTATGGAACTCCAGATAGAACTACATTGAAATTCTGCTATTTCTTGATGTTGACATGAACTTTCCATTTCAACTTTTCCACACCACAAATGTTGCACTATGTGTGAATTGGGTTGGCTAGTAGGATTACACTGTACTGTACTGTGTAGTTAGGGTGTCCATTAAGTCAGTGGTTCTCAACCTTAGGTCCCCAGATGTTCCTGGACTAAAATGCCGAGAAGCCTTCACCCATAGCTCTGCTGGCTTAGGATAGCAGGAAGTTATAATCCAAGAACATCTGGAGACCCAAAGTTGGGAACCTCTGCATTAAGTGAATTTAATGCCTAGAAATCAGTTTGCCATGTAAAGCAAGAATTTGGCCAAGATGATGGTGTGTAGAAAAGAAAACACAAAGGACCTGGGTTCAAATCATTGCTTAGCAATGGAAACTCTCTCTCTCTCTCTCTCTCTCTCTCTTTCTCTCTCTCTCTCTCTCTCTCTCTGTGTGTGTGTGTGTGAGTGAGAGAGAGAGAGAGAGAGTGAGTGAGTGAGAGAGAGAGAGGAAGAGAGAGTTAAAACTATACCTAAATATATCACCTTGAAAACCTTATTAGGGTTGCTCTAAGTCGGTTCCAACTTAATGGCACCTACCATACACACACATGTATTTTACTGTGCTTTCTCAGGTCTCAAGACGGAGAGACAAATTTTGGGACGAGTTGCTCTGGAGCAAGGGAAGGTGTGGGTTATGCATTTTCGCGCCCTCGTTCAGCGAGGGAAGGGCGCGAAAATGGCTGCCAGCTGCCCGGAAGCATCGTTGAACGGTGAGTATTCAGCCCAACTGGAATGCATTAAACACTGTTTAATGCGTTCCAGTTGGTTTTCTTGCCCCGTTCAACGATGCTTTCACACAGCGAGGGTTAATCCAGAACGGATTAACTTTGCTGTGCGAGGCACCACTGTATATACACAGTATACCCATACAACGAAATTCACAGACACCCAGAGACCAGACACATGCACACACATAAAATTCCCCAAACACTCCCCACCCACAAAAGTCCCCCACTAAAAATACAAACATCTACACCGCAGACCAAGTAGCACAGTCCAACTAATTATTCACTACTGGTGTCTTTAAGCTCATTATTAATTGCAAATTTGGAAATTTTGTTGCTTTTTGAGACACAAGGACACATAGACATCAATTTTGGGAAAATAAGGTGAACACCTTATGATAAGACAGAAATTAAAAGGCTGCTGTATGAACAAACAAAGCAAACAGTCAACAGCAACATTACACTAAGTACTTATACACAAAAACAGATCAACCAGTTCTAGCGAGAAAACAAAGGAAACTACATTCACTCACAAGAGAGAAGGGCTTCCATTTCAGCCTGTCTTCCAAGCAGGCAAGTCCTGCATGCTTCAAGGTTTTACTCATAAATCCTCTGCCCATAAAAGTGTTACTTAAAGCTTCTCTCTGGGAAACACATTCCAGGATAAATGTTGTTGGAGTAAAGACCATTTTGATCTGTAATTGCCACTCCATATTGTGTACTTCTATAAAAGGAGCAAGTAGAGACTTCATGCTTTCATAAAATGGCAGGACTAAGAGGAAAAATGGCAACTTTACTGAGTAATAGCTGTAGTCAAAACTTTGCCAAAAAGAAGAAAGCACAGTCTGCACTATTTATTTCTTTAGAAAACATGGAAAGCTCTCATCAACCATAATTACACCGTGGTTAGAGCCACTGAGTAATACAGTGCTGCTCAGAAATCACTGGAGGAAGGGCAAAGATTAAAAATAAAAAGTATTTCTGCATGGATCAAGATATCCATTTAACCAATTAAATATTATAGAGATGCCTTTTATTAATATTTTGCTTATACCAGCTCTTTGTAGAGTTCTCATAAACAGTACATCTCCAATTGGGTCTTTCCATACCAACGTTATGGCCATGATACTGTAATGTTGTAACATTACTGTATGGTTTCACTTACAGCAACATGGAATAATTCCCAAATCAGAAGTAGCAGCCAATGGAGAAACTGCTGAAGGCCTTGATAACGGTGGACTGGCAAGTTCTTCTAAGATTGTTTCAGGGGCAAGTCATACCCCTGAGGTAGCTGGAGATGGTGTACTAGGTAAGCGTTTGGTTTCCATTAAGGTTTTTTTTCCCCCATCATTGCCTTTGCTTGAAATCTTTTACTTTCTGAGCAACTCACTAATCAACCAGCATGCCGCTTTCACAGTCACTTCTGTACCCTTTACTTCTTGCTTAATGCCAATGATCACTTCAAGCCTATTAATTTTTTTCTTTGCTTTAAACAGGGGATGTTAAAGTCATTCCCTTCATTCTCCAGGTATGGGAAAACAAACGATTTAAAAACCCTTTAGCTACACAACAGAGCATCTATTTAGATACCTTCAGTCAGAAGTGATTTTGAAGTTGGAGTGGTCCTCACCAACTTATAGGAAAACAGAAAAACTAGTTTAGGATTCCTCAACATTTTATAATACTAGGTACAGTACACAGGTTTACTACTTCTGTTTAGCTAACTTGATATGTTACAACCAGAGGTTGTATATTTTTAAAGTGGTATTTTGAAATGGCCACATTTGTAATGAGCAGCTTATGACACCTAATATTTTTCGGAGCAAGATAATTACTGTTTTAGCTTAGAAAACATTTATAGCTTCCAGGGCAGCCAGAAGAGCAAAAAGAGGTATTAAATATACAAAGCTTTTAATTGTTTATATTTATGAGAAAAAGGAGACATTGAATATATATAATTGTAGTGACTCAGTTGTGAATACTTGCAATGTATGGCTCAGCTTCTGTTTATGAGGAAGAAAAGAATTTCTCCTTGTTCATTATCCTCATCTTTTATGTTCCATTAAAATAGATTCAACTAGCTTCCATATAAATATGTTTGGAGTGCTTTTTGAAGGTTCCATTTGCCTTATACTGTACTAAAAGAGTCTTGAAAGTAGGCCTTCTAATTTGTAAAGCATCCAATCTTCAGTACAGGACAAACACAGCACAGTTGATCCTAGGGGTGGAAATGGATTATACTGATCAGAGAGTTTACTAATTCAATTGCTGCTTTGCCTTCACATAATTGGCAAAACTGATCTTTCTTAACCAGTTCTTCTGATTCATTCTCTCTTTGGGGTTTTAAGTGGGGAGGTACAAGTTAACACAGTTAAGTAGTCTCCCTACAATGTGGTCCCTTCAACTTTCTTAATGATCTTTTAGGCAGAGCCAATGAAATGGAGATGAAAAATGAGATTTTGGAGAATATGGGGAAAAGCGAAATCTTGCAGAATACTGAGCATGAGGAACACACAGAGGAGACTAAGGAGCAGGAAGTTGTGCAGGAATGTTCGGAGATAAAGCCATTGCATGCTGATGAAAATGTGGAGGCAGAAAAAATCACTGAAGGCAAAGTTGTATCGACACTGGTGTTAAGTAGTGGACTAGAGGAACCAGCCAAAAATCTTTCACAGCATCTTCCAGGAATTGTTTGTGCCATTGAAAATAGTGGTGCAGTTGAAGTAAGGGGTGAAGGGGGGTCGCTTGGTGATACCAGAGAAGTGAAAGAGTTTGATGGAAATGGTTTAAATAAAATTGATCATCAAAATAAAGAAGCTGATGTATCTACTGAAGTCAATCTAGAACTAAATACAGGTTTAGAAATGCTTCCTAAAGAGCAGAGTAAAGAGAATCAAATAGATATTGTGGTTGATGTGGCAGACGACAATAATAGTGAAGAATTTCAGGAAGCTTTAGAATCTGTGAATAGCAGTTGCATAGCAAATTCCAGCCAGTCAGAATCACCAGAACTGATGGAAGACAAGCTTTCCAGAGTACCAGCTACTAATCCTAGCAGTGAAAAATCAGAAAGTAAGATTGTTGAAGATGACTTGTCAAGTCAGCTTGTCAACGAGGAAGCAAATATTACACTATCTGCTAAAGCAGAGTGGAATGAAAATGAGGTTGGTGAAATTAATGAACAGAATGACATGGAAGATGCAGTCCACCAGCAGGAGAGCTGGTGGACTGCATCTGACTCAGAGCAATCAAAACATGCACCAAATGAATTTGTAGAGGAACAAAAAGAAATTGAAAAGGACAAAATGCAGTCCTTGTCTTCAGAACATGATGTATGTGTTGAAGAGGAACAAAATGAGCAAAAGAAAGGAACAACTGAAAATAATGTTGAGCAGAGCCTTGCTAAAGGAACTAATTATACAGAAAAATTGTTAGGAACATTGGATGCACCTTTAGTTTCTGAGGGAAAGGTTGAGCAATATACCATGGAAGAGGGGTGTGCAAAAGAATCTGTTGTAGGTGACGTAACAAACAGTGAATGCCGTAGCTACGAGGAGAAAAAAATAAATGTAGAGGATGGTCCAAGGAAATGCAGTGAAACCAAAACAGGTTTCATAGATAATGGGAAGCCTCTGGCACATGTCTCAGGAACACCTGAAAAAATTGCTGATGAGGGTCATGAAGAATACAACACTAAACACATTAAAGACTGGTCTGCTGAAGAACAAAGTAAAGCTAGACTAGATGACAATGTTTCAGAATTGGATACAACTGAACGTATGATAGAAGACACTGAAGAAGTAGGCAAAGGGAATGAGGAGAACAAGAATCATGGACAAATAGAGGAAAAAGTTCTTGAAGTTGTGCCAGAAATTGTGGAAGCTGCTTGTCTTGAGTCTCAAAAACCTGAATACATCAATCAAGAGAAAGAGTCTGACAGTGAAGAAGAAGTAGGGGAAGAATATCATGAAGCATGTGATTTCAGTGAGTCTCCTTTAGAAGAACAAAGAACTAGTGCATGGAGTGAAAAGCAGGGTAACAAATTGGAGACAATCTGTCACCAGACCCAAGAGAAAGACCAAGTTGTAGAAAGTACAGCACAGAATGTGCTCAAAGAAAACAGTGAAGAGGAATGTAAAAACACAGAAAGATTTACTGAGGAAAATAAGGAGAAATTTTACCAGATCCCATCAGATGAGATGATGGATGAGGCCATGTTGACTGAAAATAAAAATATGCAGCATGGGAAAGGAAACAAAGCTGAAGAAGCTGAACATTTGCTGACTGATTCTTTCATTTCTGAGCCTTCAAGGGCACAGTGTGAGACGCTGGAGGATACAAACAGAGATATATTATATGAAATCAGTTCCAAACAAATTGCTGAATATACATCAGAGCAGTTGAAAGAGTTAGAGGCATCTGTGCATGAAAGTCAAGAGGAATTCCAGCCAGGTAGGAAGGGTAAAGGTAAATCTCGGGAAGACTGTAATATATCGTAACTTCCAAAGTTGGATCACTGTTGCATGTTACACGTCCAGCAATCTGATATATTATACAGCAAAAAGACACTTTTTATCCAAAAGATCAAAGACAAGATGGTGTATTTGCTGGTTAATTTGAAAGAAAGAGCTTTACAATGCAACTAGTTTCACACAACTTGTTCTCATCATTGATAATGAATGTATGTGAAAGTGTTTGCACCTCTCATGTTTACATTTATTCATCATGATCAAAGCTATTAATCTTAATAAGTTGCAATTAAGTGCTTTTAATATTCCATCAAAATTATAAGATGGTATTTGACTTTTTCAGTATTTTCTTTAAAGCTAAAATTTAAAACTTAAGAACTGATCATGTTATGTGCACATGGTAGCTGAAAAGAGGCAGACACATACGCTTGATTCAAGTTGTTCTAACGCATTGCAACTTCAACATGCTTTTAAAATGCGGGTAGTTGATGGAAGGTGATAAAATTGTACCTTGTTTATATTGACACATTCCAACTGAAATTTCTCTCATGTTGCCAAATGATAGATCAGTATAGGAGTTTTTCATGATATATAATTAATGAACCAAACTTGCAAATTAAGAACTGTTGGTTTGCTCAGCCTTTCCCTTCCAAATCTTTTTCCTTCTTTCACTGAGTTGGTTCTAGGTTAAGTTAGTAGCATTTCAATCCTATTGAAATCAGGGGAATTTGTTAACCAAATCATAAACTTTTTATATTGCTTTCAGTAAGGCCTAAGCAAGACTGACTTGCTTCGGTTCAGCTCCACTAGCTGAAATCTACCAGTATAACTTAAGCAATATAAGGCTGATGATCAGCTGTGAAGGTTTTCTGGAAATTGAGATATTTTAAACTCCCACCCACCTACCTCAAAGGTCCCGAGGCTCTCTTGGAATCCCTTTCGCTGTGGGGAAGTCATTGGGGGCTGCAGGACTGGAGGGACGATGTCTTTAATTTCCAGAAATCACAAGTACCAATGAAAACATCCCACCAGCAGCAAATTTCAGAAATTAAAGATATCCTCCCCCATCTTGTGGCCCTCAATAGCTTCCCCACAACTAAACTGATCCCAAGGAAGCCTCAGAATCTTTGAAAGGGGCGTTCAACATTTTTAATTCCAGAAAGAAAGAAAAAAACACAGCTGAGGACTGCATTCATCTTATATAGCATAAGTTACACCGCTGGATTCCAGCTATTGTGTTTTACATGACCTGTGTGACTTCTTTATACTTTTGAGAAATGTTTAGTTTACATTGTTCTTAGCCTTTCTATGAAGTAATGTTTACTGCTAATTATAACAAATTTGTTTTCCTGCAGAATTTTTGATATTCCATATCCCTTCACCTGAAATATTGTGATAGGTGTAACTTTTCTTCCATATGGAAAAGTTACCCCTTTCCTGTCTTCTACAATGTGGGCAAATCTGAATGTCTCTGTAAATGCCTTAGATGCAATTTAAAACTTCAGAAACAAGGTTTATGGTAACTGCTGTTTTATGCACAAACCCCGTGCTTAACACACTGCCTTTAAAAAATGAACATATAAATTGTTTTTTTAATGATTTCTAAAATAAATAAAGTTGTTTATCAGTACATCTTGTTTTTAAATCTGTGTTAGCAAGGAATATTTTAATGAATAAACAATTTGATTCTGTTTTGCTATTAGTCAAAAGGATGAAAGCTTGTAGAATGATAGTACTATTAAATAGAAATTGTACTCCTTGTATTCAGATAATAAAACACAAAAGGAACAACATATATGTTACACGCATTGAGCTGTATATAATAGAAATAAAAAATTATCTACTATAAAATGTCTTCTGCTCGCTGATTGTAAAACTGCCTACAGTTAAATTGATACTTCTCATGTTTTTCTTACAAAGCTATTTAAACATTTTCAGCCAATATCTGGCTGCTTCTGTCTTGTTACTTCTTTGGATATGGCGGTTCTAGACAAACATGAAGCATCTTCATACTTGCATCATTGAACTGTTTCTCTGAGAAAAGGGGTCCCAAGCTGTGAGTGGTTAAGTCATGAATGAGGAGTAGAAAACGTAGCAGGCAAGATGCAGCCATACCACTGAATGCCTAGGGATGCCTTCTGAATGGCTTCCAGCATCCCTGTGTGAAAAGGACCACACTTGGGCACTGCTAGCCTACATTTCCAAAGAGAAGTAGGTTGTTGACAGGCTGCCCATATGTATTGCTGCTCTAAGAATATTTCCTGTTAAAAAAATTGAGGATACTTTGATAGAAATCTGGGTGGGGCAGGAGAAGGAGGTACTGATAAAGGGAAACAGTGCTAGTATCTCCACTACTTGTTCTCCTTTAATTTATCTTGGATATGAATGTTCATAAGAAAAATGTTGCCTTGCATTGGTTCTTTAACTTCAACAGTTACAATTTTTTTTCTGAAATGTACAAAGGTGATTCTGCCTTATCTACATCCTCAGTAGCGTGCCAGAGAAATCTTTTTCCACCTGCATTCATAATCTGTGGTTTTCTTATTTCTATGCCTATTTTAAGAGGTAATAATCAGATAACTTTTAAAATAGACATTTTGGAGGAACTGAATGGACCAATACTGTACAATTCATTAAGTTTAATCCAGAATATGTGCTTCGATGTCTGTCATGTGGGAGTCACTCTTCTGTGATACTTTCTCAGATGAGTAAGGCACATATGTACTATAGGATTTGGCTCAGTGGCTGGGGCAGGTTGTGTAGGGACCACCAGCCCACTCACTTGCCTTCTTCACAGCTTTGCATCATGTACACCCCCTGCCCTGCTGCAAGGGGCTGCATCACAGAAAATCAACTCCAACACAATTGCAGCTGTGCATAAATCCAGCTTCTCATTTCATTGAATCAACATTTAAATTTGTAGCTGATGTTATATGGACTATCTTGACAATATATTTAACAAATATTAGGTTTGTGTTTCCACCATGATGCAGATAGATTTTTAAAAACAGTCCTGAAACAGCATCCAGTTATTATTAAAACTATCTTCTTTTTTTGGGCAAAAGATTCAGTTGTTCCAATTTGTATGAAAATTCATAGTCTCCTAAGTCGTTTAAGCTTTTAATCATTTCCTATGGTGAGCAATCTAAATTTCACATTTTGAAAGTGGAGTTGCAAATCATTCTTAGAGTTTCAAACACAGAGTAAGTGACCGATCACTTTATAATTAGTATCTGTTGTTTTTGGCTTCCTTTCATATGAGAAATGCATCCTTGACCTTTAGGAGCTGATTTTTCCCAAGTTCAGTAATAGCAAACTCTTTGGTGATCAGAATTTCTGATGGACTTGAAAGATTTCTCATCTCTGAAACAATGCAAATTCATCTTTTTAAATAAATACTGTATCAGATGACAAATTACAAGCAAGAGTATCTAAGATCTGTGGTTTCTTATTGTTGATAATATGTTGTTTATGTCTTCCTGATGCTATTAAGCTGTAAAGATTTGTGAGATTTTTGTATTCCAGTGTTTGGCCCTAGAATTCTTGCATGCTAACCTCCAGTAGAAGATAAGCCACTTTGCATGCAGCTGGGTGCTTCTACTGAAGTGACAGGCATGCTTTGTGAGACTGGCATTATCTCCCTTGGCTGAAACCCCTTCCCAGTCCTGTGTGTGAACCTCATTTATCGTGGTACGTGCATAACTACATTTATCATTAGTTCAACTAACCTTCATCGTTCTTTTCCTTTTTAAAATTATATATCTATCTTGATATCTTTTGCATAACAAATATCAACACAGTGTTTTTTTTAACTTATAGACATTAGATTGAGAAAACTTGTTGATGAACGAGAATCCTTACTTGAACAGGTAATTATTCCTCTTTTAGATTCTTTGGATGTTGCCAGTTGTTTCCTGCAACCTGGAAGTGGTTTAAAAGGTCATTTTTTCATACAATGAGTTGAATTGAATCAAATGGTTTGCCCGAGCCAAACTCCATAGGCCACTGCACACAGGAAACTTCTGCAATTGGGTGTGGAGTTTTAATGGCATGCGTATATCAACTATGACTCAGTGCTTTTGTTCCGATGCTTATCTTTTACAAAATGTACACCTGGATATATTGGAGAAGGATTGGGGCTTCTTTAAAGGGACAAGTCCTAAAAAATACATTTTACCTCTGGTCCAGTGCTTGTTTTTTTCTGTTTACTAATTCCTGACTGAGTCAGGGACGTGGTGGCGCTGTGGGCTAAACCGCAGAAGCCTGTGCTGCAGGGTCAGAAGATCCGGCAGTCATAAGATCGAATCCACGCAACGGAATGAGCAGCCGTCGCTTGTCCCAGCTCCCGCCAACCTAGCGGTTCGAAAGCATGCAAATGCGAGTAGATAAATAGGGGCCACCTCGGTGGGAAGGTAAACAGCGTTCCGTGTCTAAATCACACTGGCCATGTGACCACGGAAGATTGTCTTCGGAGAAATGCTGGCTCTATGGCTTGAAGAGTGGGATGAGCGCCGCCCCCTAGAGTCGGACACGACTGGACAAAAATTGTCAAGGGGAACCTTTACCTTTTAACCTAATTCCTGACTGAAGCAGCCCTGCTTTATCACTTGGAAATTAATCAAGTAAGTTTCCTTTTCATACAGTACTCTTTAATTTTAGTATAAATTGGTACCCTTAAATCTTGCATTCCAGGGCTACATCTTATTGAACATATTTCTTAGTGCAGGCAGAAGGAGAAAGGTCTGCAACTGTGCTCCCTCTTATTCTGAGCATAACGTATAGGCTTCGTCCAAAGCTTTAATTTTTTTAAGTTGCAGGTTGTTTAGCTGCCATGATTGTTTGACAGGATCCTTATAGTATTTGCAGCTTCTATTTTGTGCATGATCCATATACTACTTCTGTTCTGTTCTTATAAGCTCTTTGCTGACATCACATCATTCCATACAAAAATAATTCATTTCTGACATAAGCACACATTTCTTCATCATTATCTCTGTACAGAACATTGTTCAGGACATTCTAGACTGTTGAATAAGTGTTGAGTTAACAAGCCCATTTCATTTAAAGGTTGTAACAAATGAATTTAGCCTTGAATTTGGTGGGTGTCTTGTCCTTCAAAATTTGCAGTCCTACTGCTCCTGTTCAGTTCTCTTTTGACTCTCACAGTGACAGTATCACAGGAGCCCTTCAAATTGCCTTTTATTGTTTTCCTTCTTGTTTCTTTCATTTTCTTATGTTTTATTCTTGCATTTGTGTGAGAACTGTGATGCTCTGTTGCTTTCTTGGCCTGTCTCTTTTGAGGCCTCAAAGTATGTTGATGCAGTGTAAAGTTGCCCTGAGAGGCAGG